GGGCCGGGAAGCTGGTACTCGTGATATCGTATGAGTGGACCTCTCTGCGACACCGAGCATCGCACGAGAGCGCAGTCGTGTGGAAATAGGAGCAGGGAGGAGACCGGAAGCGTCATCCTCTACATCCGTCGGATCGACTTCCTCCTCCATGCGATCCCGAGCCCGTGCTTTGCCCTTTCCCTTGCGTTTGCTGGGGGGAGCGGGTGCTTCCTCTTCTTCCAGCGGCTTATACAATTCTTCAAGGCACTTGCCGTCGATTACATGCCCGCATCGAAGTCCCCACACGCGTCGCCTGCGGACCTCGTCGGGGGTAAGGCTGTTATCATTTGACCCCAGAAGAAGCGGATCGGAGCATCGCGCACATGCCAGTGCCGTACTCGTTTCGTTCGCTTCACCCTCGTCAACTATATCGATGGTTTCCACCGGCGCAAAGTCGCCGACGAACCCGTCCTCGAGACGCGCGGGATGCGTCCACTCGGTTTTGTACTTTACTTCCTCCGCGCGCGGCACGATGGGTAAGCGCTGGATCCCGTGATCCGGCCAGAGGCCGCGAGGAAGAAGCCGTTCTAGCAAGAGCGTGTCGTCGTGTGCGCGCGCGAACGTCGGCAGCGGCTGCGCTGCCGCGGGCGGTGGCCCGAATCCAAATCCACGGCCCAGCGCAGAGGGTTGAAGCCGGCCAGGCGTTGAAGGATGCCCGGGGCGGTGCCATCCGCTTGGCGGTGATAATCTGGGGGTTCCATGATATTCCAGGGGGCGATTGAATCTGCACGGCGTGCGGGTATTGCGCTGTCGGCGGAGAGGCTTCGCGCTGCCTCCGGCGTGTGCCACGGACTGAAGAAGCGCGTGGTTGTCCTTGTTGATGGTTAGGACGCGGTCGGAAGAGAGAAATCACGACAAAGCGCGCACCACTTCTTGAGCTTTCTGCCACTACTGTGTGGAAACCGCGTGCTAAAAGGCTGTGTCGATAAAGAGCAGATCATGCAAAGGGGAGGTTTACCAGTGACAGAAACAACACTGCCCGATACAATGTTGATTTGAGGTCGTTCATCGTCACTGTCGAGCAGTTCTATGATCTCAGCTGGCTCCGAGCCGCGAGGCCTGCGTGATGGGCGTAGAACGTCGTCTTCATCGAGGGCATCGACATCGATGATTTCGGAAGCGAAGACTTGAAAAGGAGGTGTTTTGAGTGTGCGACGGCATTGGAAGTTTGACGTTATGGAGTGGCGAGAAGTTGGCGAGAATCAAGTGGCTAATGACAATGCACTGAAGATCACTAAATGCTGTTTACGTCTGTTATTCAGGTATGATGCTCACAGCCACAATAATTCCGATCTTTTTCGGGACATGAGATATCCGCATATTTTGCACGTATATTCAAGAGAGTGAAATAACTGAAGCGGATTCCTTTCCGGTGTTCACATCGTCCCTGCATCTTCCAGAGACTTTCCAGTTTCCAAGTTCTGTTGGGGCTTGTCACTTTCACGTTTCAACCATCCGCCACCGCATCAGAATCCTTTTACGCAATTGGCTTCTCTCACCGTCCACGGGAGCCCAACATGCCGAAAACCCTCGGGAGCGACCCTGATTCGGCTCCCCGACGGAGCACGGATGATTTCCATTTCTTTCCATACATGGACGATGTTTTTCCATGCAAAACTGGCCACGGATCTTCTGTCAGTGGCTCTGGATAAGCCGCCGAGGCTTCTATGATTGAGTTTAAGGTCGATGAGTAACCTGAGGGTTCTTTCCTGGTCTCGCCTCTTACATCTTCCTCCCATTTTTCTGCGCCCATGGCATGATTGTTTGCAGAATGGAAAACAACATATCACTGACTCACTTCCAGACGCGCCGCCCCGACGAAGCAAAAAAGCCTGCGAAAGAAAACACGTGTGTTCGACCTGCGACGCCCGATTTCTCTCGAGCAGTCACCTCATGCGGCACACCACGGTGCACACCAAGGAAAAAAAGTTCAAGTGCTCGTTCCCACAATGCAACGTCGCGACAGCTCGATCCGATAATCTCCGCGTCCAGTGCGTGCTATAACTGCCTGGTTTGGGCGTGACCAGGCTCAACTTCGGGTGTTGAGCCAGTTATCGAATACATACGTCTACAGATGCACCCCCGCCCACCTCCGCATATTCGAGTTCCGCCGCGGCCTTTCCTGATCCCAGCCCGAGTCCTGGACCGAACACCGATCCTACTACACCATCGAGGGACAAATTGGCCTACCGACTTGCTTTCCAGCGCGCGTGGAGACACTGCCAACCCCGATATGTCTTTGTCCCGGAAGTCCCTCCCGCCCTGAACGATTCGAGATACGACGAGTCGGATTGGCTGGATCTGCGGTGTCTTCCGGACGACTCGTACCCGCGCCCAAAATTGCAGGACTGCACTGTCCGTCCGGGGTCGGTTGAGGAGATGCCCAGAGAGACCGCATGCGTTTACTACGAAAACGCTGGGAATCACAGGATGGAACTCGAGCCTGGCAAGGTCTCCGTAGGGGGATCCAACTACATCGTGCCGCATCCCGAACTCGACTTATCTCCTCTCTCCGACAAATTTCGCCAAGTCCAGGCCAGTCTTGCTGGGGATACCCAATCTACGGAGCTTCCCGAAGACCCGCTGTACTTTTTCCAACCCCCATCTGATTCGGCATCTATCTATGCTCCTGCTGAAATCGATCCATGCAATGCTGCCCAGGCATATGCTTATTATGATTTCTCAAGTCAGCTACTGCCTTCGCTTTTACCTCGTGAATGTTGAAAATATTTGAACTTCCTCTCCCTCACTGCCTAGGTCAATGACAGATTCAATACATGTGTATGTATATTTGGCAAAATAGTACTCAAGGAACGTTTATAAAACACCAGATACAATGACTGTAGATAGATGTCCCTATAGTACATACTGTGTCCTTATCAACGCAGTCCCAGCACCCGTTGATCTACCGACAGAGTACTGTGATGCGCGTCCACTATGACAGGAAATCATCTACATAATCTGGACTTCCATCTTGATTTTTGACGCCCATCATGTACGTCAACCGATATCCAGGGTTCTTTACATATCGTCAAGCTCCCGCTCTTCCAGTGCCAGCTTGTCACCCACATTTACGTCCGCTCAAGCAGTGCAAACGCAGGCGGACGCACGATGTCTCGCATGGCACCGCTGCCCAGCAGCCATGAGGATCGGTGTTTCTTGGACGTTCCGCCACTAAGAGACCTGTTCCGAGCATTTGAGTGCGCATCGGCAAGAGGCAATCGCAGGCCTGGAAGAAATTGGGACAGTAACACACCGCAAGACAACCCGCGAACACTAGGTCTGGACGGGGAGCGGAAGCTCAAAGTGGTGCAAGCAGTAGAGACTTGGATCGAGAAGGACCGAAGCGGGGACGCGGTGTGTTTGTTCGCCGCTCTCCTTCGTACAGGGCTCTCTGACGAGCCGCCGGTGATCGTCGAAAGCGCAAATCCATCGAGCGATGGCGCGACCTTTCGTTTGGCGCCATGACATTTGAACGAACGCGCCCCTCCCTGTGCTCCGACGCTATGGTCACCTTGGAACACTCTGGACGGATTAGTCGGGCCCTGGTCGAATGTTTCGCTGACTATCAGTGGTGTTTGTACCGCCGCGAGGATGTCGGTGCAAACGCAATGTTATGAGACATGTACTAACCACAAGTAGGATGCCGCACAGGCCATCTTGCACGAGTTCTACCTCGAGGGATACAAATGCTCACTTCCGACACATCGAAGACATCCAGTGCCCAGTCGCCCGAAGAAGCTACGCATCTCTACCACGACGACAGGTCTCGAAGACGATGTCCCATTGAGCGACATGTCATCCATCGACGAGGAGAACGATATTTACCAGTATCTCGATCTGAATACCCCAGTCAACTGTGCAGAAGATGGAGACCCCGCTGTGCAGCTTCGCATGGCCATCGAGGCACCAACGTTGCCCTCTACTTTTGTCTTCCCGTCAGCGTCGAATTCAACGCTCTCTATTCATTCGGACGCGAATCCAGGTCCTGTGGGGTGCGCCCCAGTCGAAGATTCATACACAGAGATGTCGGAGCCCTTACCGGTCAGTTTACGTCATGTGTCTGTCTTGTGTTTTCTTGACCTACCCTACCCGTGCAGAATCCGGCCCTGATTTCCTTTGAGGACGCGCCCCCTCCAATCTTACCTGAGAGCGTGGAAACTATCTCCACCCCAGCAAAGAAAAGGAAACACTCCCACGCGAATCTGGGTGCTGTGCCGTTGACAAGGAGTCGGACTTCGGCTGCGGACGGGACCGCTGTTATGGACGATTCGGGGAAGAAAGTGAAGCAAGAGCCGAAGGGAGAATCGGTGTGTGTAGCGAAGCCCTGCCTCAAGTCATCTTTGCCCTGACCCCTCCGTCTAGGACGAATGGAAGGCAATACGTCAAGCCAAGGTCGTAGAATTTGTCGCAGACCATAGCCGAGACCATCTCGCTCAACTCAGAAAAAGCAAGAAACGTGCGGCCAACGACCGACTGGCGGGCGAGTCACCGACTAAACGAGCACGACCGCCAGTCTTGAAAGCCCCGCCGGTCTACGAAGCTCAAGTTACAGCAGCCCAGAGAAAACGCAAGTCCGCGACAGTCCGGACCAACACTCCGCCCATGACTACGGTGAAGATAGAGGAGACACGCATCAACACACATGGCGTTCGGATCGTACGGGGACCTCCGTTGGCATCGAGCAAACGACCGCCCTCGGATACAAGAGCGAAGCCGTCAAAAGCAGCGAAGAAGCCGAACAATGGTTTCAATAGCAATCAGACCGCCAGGAGCCAACATCTGAAAGAGCCACTGCCCAAAAACCCGGGCCAGGTCAAAACGAGACCAGTCGGCATCCAGCCCGTGCGTTCGGTTGTCTCTGATGCGAGCTTTCGGATCGTTAATGTCTTTAGACCCCCACAATGATCGACACGCGTTCGGTGAAGATCGTCCGCTTGCCGCAGTACACAAAATTGGCACGGATACCAAAACATTCTAAATCGGCTACTAAGGATGTGGTGCATCCTGTGCCCTGCGAGCAGAGTAATGCAATCTCACCGCCTCAGACGACGCCCGGTCCATTTAGAATATCCACCCCTGTCATCCAGACAAACCCGATTCCAATGCCAGAAGTTTCAGGAAAGGACAAATCTGACCGACCTCGGCCCGTATCCCAGTATCCATCGGAAGTACTGTCTCGGATCGATCCACCACTGAAGCCAAAACAGCCCTTGAATGACTTCCCACCAATGTGGTCGGCCTCGCGGCAAGAGATGTGCGAGTCGTCGCGGTGGTTCCGGTCGTACCAGGGCGGAGTCTATCACAAGGACGGTGTCGTGAAGGGCTATTTTCTCAGTGCGTTCAGCGCCAGGTGCGTGTTTCCCTCTCCCTGGCGGGGACCGTGAGCTTAAGCACACCATCAGACGGGACACATTCGAGCGCTCCGGCAAGCTCATCATCTCGCACGGCGGCGGCAAGTGCGATACCGATCAGACACGCACGGACGCATCTGTGCGTGCGCTCATCGGCGCCTACGAGCAGCAGAACCCGCTTGTGCTGTTCGTCGACGACAAGTACGCGCACTTTCCGCTCGATCTCGCCGGGCGCGATGTGTACATGGCCGCGCTGGGGTTCTACCGCGTAGTGCACTATTGGGGTGTGTGTGCTGCTTTGCTCTGCTTGCTCATTCATTCGTTCGGTGGGATCCGGCTGACAGCGGGACAGTCGAGCAGCAGGACAGCGCGACGCGTGCCGTGGTGCGGTACAAGTTTGCGTTCGAGTGGTGTGAGGGGCAGGGCGAGCCGTGGTGGTTGTCACATGCGATGCTCCCCGTTGTAGCTGAACAAGTTGCGTCGAAGTGCGTGGGCCAAGTTTCATGAGGCTTGGTCACTGAATGAAATTCGCAGACCAGATCAGGCGCCATGTCCCACTGAAAGACCCCAAGCGTGGGCTAAGTTTGCAGACCAGGCGACCATCCATCTTTCAGAGTATGTGATTTCCGAGGTCTTATGCCATGCCTTGATGAGTTGCAGACCTAATCATCAGCTGGCGTTCGACGGGAAGGCTTACAAGTTCAGATCGTTCGGGATGGCCGAACAAGCCGCAATGCCACAGAGGCTGGTCACGCAGTCTGAGGTGCACTCCAGCTCAATTCGGGCCGTTCCATCACTCTCAAGCGTTCCCTCCGGGCCGTCTTTCGGTCCAGATCCCTATAACATGATGGTCCGACTACACGAGATGTCTGACTTCTGGCATGTTTTTATCAGTATAGTTGTTCTGAGACACGCTGAGATATATCGCAGTCCCATTCAATATTCCCGTAACGCATCTGGTTTATCGATCGGTGATCCTTCTCATACCGGCCAATTCGAAATGATGGAACGAGACGAGACGCCTGTCTCACGGCGAGTTATACGACCCGCTCCTGCGGGCGAGTCCAAGACACAGAACATGTCATCGCCCCCCACTTCGAGTGCAAGCGTCGACTGCGTGGATCCGTTCGGTGTGGTATACGATGGTGTTCTGTCTGACATGAGGTCCGCAAGTGAAGTAATGCTGCTGGTTCAATCTCGGTCTGAAATAGTCTACAGACCGATTCAACCTCCTCGTCTCTATGCAGTTTGTCCCCACTGCCGCTGCACCTCCCCACGGGTGTATACACTTGACGTTTGCTTGAACCAGGGCTGCTCCTCGTTCTGGACCCTGCAACCCGGCGAGCAGATCGAGTACAGGAGGGAGTTTCTGGAGACTGTGATGAACTCGACGCCCATTCCAAAGGAAATGGTCACTGCACTCTTACCTCGCCAGCCGAGCGGAGGGACGAGCGGCACATCGTACAAGGACAGCCGCGGGTGGCATTGCTTTAGTTGTGGGCGGGTCTCGTGCCGATCCGCATGGGACGTGTATCAGTGCCCGACACCGACATGCAACGTACGTGTCATCATATTTGCACCATTCTAGATGAGTAAACAACTGATAACTACACATAGTTCTCTCAGCGCATCGTCACTGCGATCCGCCCTGCTTCCTCGTTTGCGGGAATGTCGACAGCGCTGCTTGGCGGCTCGCGAGAGTGGGTGGCCAGTCCTGACTCGGGCATCAGCGTACTCGAAAAGATGCCGTTTCACCACGACTGTCGGACTGCCGGCACGGGGTTCGTCCAGACGTTTGTCCTCCCGTACGACAAGGGCCGGATCCACGTCATCCGCGGGTCGGCGGAGGCGACGGCTGCTGAGGTGGACACGGTATTCGAGGCGTATCAGGCTCAGGCTGGGAGTGGGGCGTTGGCGTTCAGAAGGTGGCCGCTGAGAAATGTGAGTATTGTTTCTTCGATTAGGCTTGGTTCTCAATGTATTGCTAGCACAAGCGTATGTATGAGGCGGGAAATGTCTCTACATTCATGCTCACGATGCGCAGTGCGAGGAGCCCTCCTTACGAACTACTTCTCGCAAAACTGCAAGTATGCCCCAGCCGATTACTAGATATAACTGATGCGCCTCTAGCCGGGGAACGATACCACTACGTCGGTGCAACAGACCACACAGTGCCGTTCGCCCAAACTGCGCCCTGCGTCATCCACGCCCGTGACCTCATCCAGCGTCGATGTTGTGAGGCTCTTGGCCACCAGGACTTTGTCTTCAACGAGGTGCTGAGCGCGGGGTACATGGAGCGGCAGAAGATGGCATTCCACAGCGATAGCGAAAAAGGGCTCGGGCCGAACGTCGCGGGGTTGTCGATGGGTGCGCTCTCGCTCGCGTCATTCACTTCTTCCACGTATTGACTCGCCTACAACAGGCGCGCCGGCGGTGATGCACTTTCAGCCCACGCTCAGGTATGCGGAGCACCTCAAGACGCTTGATGGCCCGGGCGCTAAGACAAAGACGAAGGGGGTCCGCACGTGTCTCTCCGTTGTGCTGAAGCACGGCGATGTGTGTCTAATGGAGGGGACTGGGGTTCAGGACTTTTACCAGTGCGTGCGGATCGGTTTCTCGCTGTCATCGGTTGGCTGATGAATGCGCGCTGCTCAGACATACGGTCGTCCCGTCAAACTTCCGGATTGCAGCGACGGCGAGGTGGATTGAGCCCAGCCACGAGATCGCTGGTGGGGCTAGTCGCGTCGTTGGCGCCGAGGCAAAGATTCCGTGAGATGAAAAACGGAAGAAGTGTGTTCAAGTCTTGTCTACTGTGTATATCAACATAATTGTAGTGAGGGGCATAAAGTCACATACCTGTAGAAGTCTTGTTTGAAAGGCAGGGGTCGACTGTCGAGGTCGATGAGGGCATTGAAAAATCCACGAACGATGGGATTGGGCGTGGATCGAACTCTATACCCTGGTTTTCTCTCGGGGCCCGGGCATCACAATATCCAGTGATTGACATGGGACGTTGTGCTCCATTTCCATTGCCTCTACAGTCTACATCATGTTGTCAGGACCCACACCGCAGCCTTGAAGCTGTCCTTGTCTTTCGGTGCCTCTGTAAACCTTGAGCGTTTTCGCCCAAGCATGTGCGTCTCGCCAGACCATACACTCAAGCACGGCAACATTCGTGTGTCCACCATCTCGGTGCTCGGCAACCTCGTTCTTCGACCCAAGAACCCGCGGTCTCGCGCTCGGTGGAGCTGAGGGGGATATGGGCCTGCTTAGAGCGTTAGAATTCTTCAGTGGTAAGGTAAGCTCAAACGGCAGCAGGAATTGACGTCGCTGTTGTTGCAGTCTCTCAACTGTGTGGTATCAGCTCGCCTAATGGGAATTGTGCACGCTTCGTCTCTGTGCTCGAACAGCAATCCCTCGGTCGCATCTGGTGTGCGTATGCCGTGCAACGAGTAACGTACTCGGTGGAAAAGGGGCTAGGCCTCGCACTCATCGCTATTTTGGCTTGATCAGACTGGCTCGCTCTTGCTTTCCCCTCCTTCTGCATCGACTGCACAATGCCTTCTATTGATCTCCCTTCGAATACTTCCAGCCGCTCTTTCGCTGCACAAACGGCTTCACCGGCACCCCATCGCCCGAAGTGCCCTCTACCTCAAAAGCTGGGGACTGCCACGCCCGACGTTTTCTCATATCGCGCTCCTCGTGACCACTTCGAACATGCCCCCATCCCCTCGAGGCTTTTCTCGCCCTATACAGAACATCTTGGCCTATCAACGGTAGCATCTCGCTCAATCCGGGCACTGCCGCAATGGCCGTCTCGACTGTTTCCATCCAGGAGGCCTACCCCCAACGCGCCTTCTACCGAGCAAGACGGCTACAGAATCCCCTTTCAACGTTGTATTCCAACTGAATCCGACGCGGAACTCAAGTGCTACTCATTCGGACCGATCAAGTCTGCGCCAAGCACCGGTCGCGTTGGCTCCGTCGCTCAAGACACCCATCAAGCGTCCCCGCCCAACGTACTACCGGAAACTCTGAATGCTGCTCGCTTTCTATCTCAAAGGCATCCACCGCTACGCTGCAACGCGAAGCCCTTCGCTCGAGACACTGTTCCGAACCCACCCTTTGCTGCAGTCGCGCCTGCGGGTGACACCGTGCGTTCGAGTCGAAAGAGACCCAAGCTTCTGAATCGCGTAAAGCAGGCTATTGGATCTGTCCTAAGGCTTCCCGCTAATGGCGGCTCGCATTCAAGACCATTCAAGTCCCCGAAAGAGCTCTCCGTCAACAGATTGCTTCCTTCCTCAACATCCTCGTCTGCATCCGCAGTGCCGAATTCCCTCTTTTCACGCCTAGATGGCATACTTGTGCAGCGCACCGTGCAGAACGACTCCCCTCCTACGATCGCAGCAGCAAAGTCTTCCGGCTGCGCAAAAGCTGGCATCGTCGCAGCACGAGAGTCTGATGGGTTACCCTGCTCACCACAGGTAGCTCAAGGTCGATCCCCGCTGCTTGCGCGCTATCCTTCAATCGGGCAAGACCGAGTCTTCTCCTGCTCCCCTCTGACACCAAGTCCGCGAGAGAGATCCGCGCTTGAGACGAGGCTGAAGGCACTTGACCGGACTGTCGATCTGGCCGCACTCGAAGTGGAGAACTTGGGCGTCTTGCCCGTTGCTTGTAGGGACGTTCTCGGTCGGACCCTCGCTGTGCAGGAACGCTTCTTATATCGAAAACGAGGCGAGGTGTATTGGTCGTTCGGGGTCGTGTATGAACTGTGGAAACAGCTACCGGATGACGTGCTGAGTAAGTGCGCATTGACGGTCTGTTTCTTTTTCTTCTCGATCCATTTATTGCCACATTGACGTTGCTCGTCAGCGCCTTCGAAGCCGCTTTGTGCAGGACAGCATTTTGTCTGCATTGTGGGACAGGATTGGGAATACCAGTCATCTCGGAATGACTAGAAGCACAGCGCTGCTTATCGCTGTTGGAGTTACCGCCAACAGCTCACCAAAGGACTCCTTGTCTTGGATCAAAACACTCATCCAGCCTATTCTCGACATTCTTGTTTTCCACGCCGAAATGTCAATTGTTTGGTCAGAATATACCGTACACCCTGCAACTGACTATCCTGCGATGTAGCTTACCCTCTGTTCCTACTCCAACTGCAAAGTCGGATATACTCGCCGAGCAACAGGGAGAGCGTCGTGTGCTGGAAGTTGTCTACGAGGCTACTCAGTGGTGGGCCACTAAGCGGTTCTCCTTGCTTGCTTACAGTTTCTCTCCAGTGCCTCACCTTTGAAGAGACGATCCTCATTCACGCACGGGGGAGGTCAGCTCCTCAGCATCGTATGTCCACCGGTACTGAGCCTTTGTTATAGTATCCACATCGCTCGCACCACCCAACGCTCAAAGACGAAGGATCAGCGATTCCGCATTCCTGGGGCGACCCTCGATCAGCACCACAGGTGCCTCTTACTCGCTGCTCGGGGTTTGCGCTGGCTGAGATCAACTAGGGCAACTCACGTTGACGCAGGAGATTCGACTTGGGATTCTCTGCCAGACCATGGACGCGAGCCTTCACATGAAGTTTGGTCAACTATCCCGACAGTTTTGGATGGATATCATCAAATCGCCGGAGATCCGGGGCCCACTGGAGACGTTGGGCGATGCTGCTATCCGGGCCGTGCTGTTCGATCTGCTTGTCGAGGAAGCCAACACTGCCAAGATCAAACAGGTAGACGAGTTGATCAAGGTCAAAGCACATGTATGTGCTATCGATTGTGCTAACTGTCTTCTGTCTAGAATGCTCTTGGGCCGCTGCTTGAGAACAACACTTTCCAGCACATCATGATCGAAAAAGGATTCTACGAGCATTCCGGAGATCACAAGTTCTACGGAAATGCACTCGAGATTATGGGGGGTTCCATATACGTACACGGCGGGGCCATTGCTTTCCGGCAATGGATTCATGCTGTTTTCCCGTGTCTAGTGAGAGCTGCAATCAAAGCCTTCAATAGCTTTCACCGGTGGGGCTGCACGTTAGCTGCTTTGACCTCAATGCTGACTCCACCAGGGAACCCACGCAGGACGAGCTCAAGCGCCGGACAGATAGGCGTGCGCGAATGCATCCTCGTGCAAGTGAGTTTGACCCCGATGTCGTGGAAACACCGAAGGCAAAACGACAACGGGTTGGCGGACGTGCTATCGAGATACAACAGCCACAGAAGAGGAGGAGGAATGGAGCCGTTTCCGGTCGCTCGAAGAAACGGGCGGCGCAGCCCGTCGTCGCTGTCGAGGTCTGCATAGACTCTGCTTTTATAATCATGAACTTGAAGGTCATATCATGCATCAGAACGAAGGATCGCTTGCTGCTGGCCGAACGCGATCTGCGAAAGGCCGGTTTGAAGGTGTTCAGGCCGTGCGTACTCTAGACCTTAGCGTGTTCCAGGTGGTAGCTGACATCTGTATTATTCATTCAGCACCAGGTGTCCTCACCCTCGGCATCGATCAGGATTCCTCGAGCGCCGAAGCCGTTGGCCAGCTTGAATGGTGTCCCGTCGGGGCTATTCACGTTTAGGATGCCACCGTGAAGCACCGAGTGGGGTAAAAACAACTACATGTACTAGCACATCTTGTGAATACAAAGCTATGCATCCTGAGGCCCACCTGGATCCGCGTTTTGCTTTAAGAAAAACGTCGCGAAACAAGTAATGTCCGTGAATACTGTGTTTGGGAAGAGAACTATCCAGAATCAAGACATTACGCAAGCGTCATCAACCAATTGAGTGATTGACAGTGAAGTGGTCGCCTCTGGATTGACGACTTGCATGTGCCGAGTTCCACTGAATGCCCTCAGCGCCATACTTATTCGTCACCGCCGTGGGATCAGAACTTTGACGAAATGCCCATTCCCGACAGTGTGACAGGCTCCTCAAACATGTCTCAGTCACGGCGGCGTTCGCGTGCCCACGATCTTCGGTGCTGAGCGCTTGCGTTCCTTGACTCGAGAACCTATTGCCTCGCCCGCAATGGAGCAGGAGGAGAGGGGGAAAGGTAATATATGTGTTCGTCCAGATACAACAGGTGGATCGACAACCGGAGGGCGTGTACACACTGTTAATGCAGTGGTCTCATCTAGCCCAGCATCACTCCAAGACGACGCTGAAAGCACCGATACTCCGTGTCCATCCCCGTATCGCCCATTAAGGTATCGACGATTCGATTGAAGTCTGCTGCGGCCTTCCACAATCTTTTCGACCAGCGATCTTTGTGTCGGGGATCAATCTAGGTGCGATACACTGCTACTCTACACAATCAGCTCAACCTCCATCGCGTCCAGCTCTTCCCGAGGCCAGATTCGCGCCATCTCTTCAGTGAACTGCATCTCCTCGATATCAAGGTCTGAAACGCCTCTCAGTTTACACGTGGTGCGAGAGTTGGTGCGCGGACATACAGGATATGACCATGCAGGACTTGGTCCGGCGCAGTGGCGTTGTTTGACTGCGTCGACGTCGCCAATATGGTGTCATTCGGATACGCGTCTCCCGGGTCGGATAGAGCAGCTTCAACTTCTCGAGGCTGAGTGTTTGTGAGACGGACGATGTCGACTGAGGATCAATGTCTCCCACGTACCCCTGCTGCCGCCGCCGTATTCGTCGTTCTCGAGGATGATCCAGTCCGAGGATCTCCATTCCTGCGCAGATTTGGAGGACTGCTGCTTGCTCCAGGCAAGCTCGGATGACGGGAGGTGTGGAAAGGTCGGCAGGGGTCATGTTGGTGTCTGTCGAGTAAACGGGAGCAAGGTGTAGTTTATATAAGGGCGTGGGCGAAGGGCGTGGGCGGTGCGGATCGACATGCGGTCGGGGGCTGCTCATTGCTCACCTGGCACGATCAGCGTGTTCTCTGATCCCCCACTCAGTAGACCAGCGGAACGAGGCATACACGTGGTGCGATGTATTGCAAGTGGATCTGCGTTTGTACTTCCTCTCAGTGGCTGGGATTAAGGTCTACGCGCTCATTGAATATTCATCAATACGGGGGCAAACGGGGGACCTAGATTAAATTACGGTGCAAACTATCACGAGGATACAGTAAGTACATTGGTCGAGGTAAGTTCCATGCGGCATAAACGAGACGCTCCAGAGCCCTTGAACCGCAAGAATCGAAATATCCCCTTCACGCCCAACCTCCAAAGGAAGAGGCCGCCGACGAATGTGTGGTTAGCGGGGCTCGGAGGACACGCATGGGAGGCGTAGGTCTCCAGTGCGGGTCAGAGGTCCGATAAACTGGGGGGTTGTGTGGCTTTGGATCAGGGAACGATGGAGTGTAACCAGTCACATCGTCGCCAGACATCGCATACGAATTCGAGCCGAAGGGCATTCCGATGGGTTTGCCAGGTTGGATGAGGTCATCCCCTTCGTACGACATCGGCTCGTCGAAATGAGGTTGGGGGAACAGCAAGGAACCACTGGGAGCGGAATCGAAGAACTCCGAATCTGGAGAAGGCATACCCACCGAGCCCTGGTCACTCAAAGCGGGTGTCAGCGGTGTGGAATCGTCCGACGAAATGCGCTTAGGAGGCTGCGGGATGAAATCCGTTGGCTGACGCAGCAGCGGAGGCCGATTGGCCTGGTTGGCCGACAGCAACGGCGCAGGCGGGCCCCGCTGAGGCTCACGAGTGGATAGGAATGGAATGTGCTGGCTGATAGACTGCCGAAATGCCGCTGCGTTCCAGCCGCCTTCGTCCGATCTCTGGAGAAGATGGGTGATGTAATCGACCGGGTTCGCCTCTTGCTTGATTGCGTCACAGGCGAGCGCAGCGCTGGAGAAGTTTCTTTCGAGCTTGTTGGCCAGTTTCTCGCGGTACTCCGGCCAACGTCCTCTGAAGACTGGACGGAGTTCTGCATCCAAAAAGGCCGCGATATCCTCCGCAGTTTGCTTGTCCTTGATCTCATTGTGCAGATCCCAGTGTTCGATATTAGTGCCCTCCCGACAGAGCATGCGAGATATGTCAGGACTGGGTCGGGTGGTGATCAGGATACGGAAGTTGGCAGGAAGTTTGGTGAGCTTCGTGGACAGTATCGACAGCAATTCCCTGCGTTCCTGAGAACCTTCAGAACCACATTGTTCCAACCCGTCGACGACGATCAACATCGGCCCAAAATACACGGGCGCGTTCTCGGAACCAGTGGCAGGCAGAAACATGAATTTGTCGAACTGCTCCTGAAGAGACGCGGTGCGTTGTATCGCTCGGACCCCAACAGTCCTCGAGAGCGAATTCCTCCAAGCTGTGTCGAAGTCCGCCAGATCACGAGTGATAGTCGGGAACAGCTTTAGAACGACTTCTGGGTCTCCAGACAGCAGCGGAGGGAGAAAGCAGGATGACCCTAGACGCTTCATTTCATCTAAGGTGCGCGCAACGGTGTGCGCGATCGCCGTTTTACCGAACCCAGCTTCAGCAGTGAGCACCAACGTCCGTGGCTTGTCGCGGTCGTTCACCCAATCCACGATTTTCTCCCGTATCGTTACCCGAGTTCCTGGTAAGCATGTGCGGTTCTGATTGAAGCGGATTCCCCAAATGTATGGCAGTCCGTCTAGGTCTATCGCAGAGCCTGTCATCACACATCAGTTGACGCGCCTGCGAAAGAGAATTGTCGGCACGCACCGATTCGTGTAATCTCCTTCTCCATCCTGACCACCCTCACCTCGATATGCGCAGCCGATTCGCCGCAGAATATCGCTCTGATCCTCGAGAAATTGTCTTCGTACTCCTGGATCTTCCTATCCAATTGTTGGCCGTGAAAGGTTGAGTTGACCGTCCGCTGCACTGAAGTCATGTCAGCACTTCGACGAGCCTGAGAACGGGAGGAACCAACAAAGTCCTCGTTGTTTGTAATAGTCACGGATGAAGAACCCGCAGTCATTCAGCTGCAACGTCAAGATTTTGAGAGTCGAGGTGTGAGGCTGAAGCTCAGGTGCCTTGAGCTTGTTTGCAAGTGCAAAGGCGCTTGAAGCGGAATCCAAAAGCGACTTGAATCTGTTGTCTCGATCTGCTAGGGTCTCGAACACCTGGATGAAGAGCGTTAGCAGGCGTCACGGAGTAGGCACGATCGTATCAGACCTTGTAGCCAGCCAAGAGCACCGTAACAACAGCTTTCGCGAGCGGATGAATCTGCAGCAGCACGTTCAGACTCGACACCGGTCTACAGAGAATGACCCGCACGACCCACCTCAGCGACGTTTGCCACTAACTTCGCGAATATTGACACGGTGGCAAGCAATGCTTTCCATGCCTCGTCATCCATAGGTCTGAAAGTGGACAACGACCCTTCTTGTCCGATCGGAACATTCGGCCGAGACGCAGGGCGGTCGGGACGAAAGGGCTTGCTATCCACTTGAAGGGTCGCATCTACCAGGCCAGAGTCGTGGAAGAGCTGCATCGCAGCGCCAACGCAGTGCAAACCAGGTCCCTTCTGCTGGCGGAGAGCTGCTGCACGCGTTTGTCGTTCAGCAGCAGACGGAGCAGTGTGGGGAAGCCGGTTGACGGTGAAATTGATGCACGCCGTGGAATTTGTCATCCGTCGTTCAGTGGCTGGGAGATGGGAGATGAGTGCGATACAATGCTTGAATGGAGGGAGACATGACATACAAGCACCCGACATAATAGCGTTGACAAGAGGCTCCGAATGGTGACCCCAGGCACGAGCCTCACGAAATGAGAGTGCAAAACGGTGCACAAATAAGGTGAATGTTATATGGCTTCCAATAGGAATGTCCCTGCCCAAGCGATGAGTAAGGTACTGAGCGATTGGGAAATCGTACATATGAAACTCTTCGTCCCAGAAAGCCTTGCCCTCGGAGGTACTTGTGTCCGCAGTCTTCTTCCCGATACCGTTGACGTTGATGTCAACTCGAGCTCGACCATATTCATCAGGGACATCTTCGACCATAAGTTCTGGATGAGATATCAATGGAGGCGAATGGCATGGAGAAAGAGCGTACTCGAAAGTTTGATCTTGAGAGTACTGCATGATTCGTGGGCACCGCATACGACTGGTGAGAGAACAAGAAACTCACGTCGCCATAAAGTGCAGGGATGTAAGTAGATGCGTTCAGTGGTTTGCAGCAAAGCACTCCCGGCGCGATATTTGAGGCAGTCGTATAGACGCTCAAGATCTTCGGACTCCAGCTTGTATCATATCTGGTGTGAGATCCGTGGCGGCGAACTGGTCAATAGGCGCACTGAACGTCGTCGCCAAAAGTTTGTCCATAGGGGCGTGGAACAATCCGGGTACAGCCGAACCAATGACGACAAAGTTAGTTCGGTTTCAAGGAGGAGGATGTAGATAAACATGCTGCGAGCGCATGTCCGCCCGGGGAAAGACAACGCCGAATGGTGGAAAAGACCCGCTGACATGGAACACGCGAAGATGCAGGTCTGATAGTCGTGTTTCGTGCAGTGGAGAGTCTTAAGCGCCCAGGATCAGTCAGTGCAGTTCTTGAATATGGGCAGGTTAACGCGTCCCGTGGCATGGGGAGCCATGGCACATTAGATAACGGCCCCGAACTTTCAAATGCTCGGAGCTCCAACGGTTGTCATCGATGGAGATTTTGATCAAAGATGAAAAGCCCGTAGTTGCAGAGAGAGAGAACAAGAGAGATGTAGCCAAGATATCGCGGACGGCCTACTGCCCTGATACCAAAAATAACTGGTATCGTTCCGACAACGCACCATCAAGCCTCATTTCCATCTGTCAGTCTTTCCTCCTGGCCTCCGTGCATGAAGATGAACATATGGACAATCTTTTGACGGAGCAAGAGGGTCAATCCGCATGCCTCGCAAGCAAGACGAGAGAGCAAAAGCTGAGCGTCGTGATCAGTCGCATTACCAATCTGGCCCCCATGGCACGTGCTCGGCCGTCCCTTTCGAAGTGGAACGCGAATTCTTCGAGCGCCTTTGTAAAGCGCATGCACCCCGTTCTCAACTATTCCTCGGTCTCAAAAGTCCACATACTGTAGTGGCGCCAGCACCCACTGTTGTATTTCTCGATTAGGCATATTTTGTTTCAGGTCCTCCATGGCATCATTTCCTTTCGGAGGCTCATGTCCGACAGTCAACTATACTTACCTCACAGCGAAGCGATCGATCGAACGAGTGCAGTGGGAGAACTGCGAATAGGCGTGACGTCAGAGATAAGCCCGCGCGCCCGAGCTTTCAGAGATATCCATCTCTGAATCGCCTATGGCTCGTGCGGTCTTCACCTGTTTCTCTCCATGCTCGCTGTCCATGTTGATTGCTACAGAGTGTCAGGCTACACTCGGGCGCTAAGGCCCCCTGCTGCTCGCACGAGGGCGCCAGATGTAGACCCCAAGGCTCCGTTGGACTTATCACGGACGCTCGTCGTGCTGACATGCGACCGGCAACGCTAATCTCCCATCTTGTGCACAGAACATTCAGTGCATATACGATGGCTCATGGAAGAAAAGATAGCGGACCATTGTATGGGCATAGGCGCAAGTTCTTCGCCCCCGGGTCGCAAGGCACTCTATCATTACGGCATAATCGCTCGTTGCGAATGACCAGTACTCTCTTCCACGCGTCAGGCTTACCAGAAACGCGGCAGCTGGGTCTATCCCAGTTACTGTGCTCGTCCTTCCGAATCAAGCATGACTCATGATCACATATCATGTCCTAACTCGATGGATGTGATGGACTTGGAGGTACCACGATTGACGGAGGAATTCACAAAGTCCGCATCCTGAGAAAACTGACGAGTGTTCAGAACAGGGATGTGCACACTGCGTGTCCCGGACCGCCCGTGCCTAGCAGCAGGTAGAGGAGGGATCAAATCTCCCAAGAAGCACACAGACCTGCGATCTAAGCAGCGGGATCCCCGCCAGCCACCCCGTGGTGAAGCCTGAACGGACATAGAATCTTGTGGAAAAGGTTCCGTGTGTGTGTGCTGCTCGCAGACAAGGTTCTGTCGGCACTCCAGCTCTCTACTCGCTAGGCGTCTCGTCCTGAGATTTCCCACGGCTGATCAGCGCATACATCCAATTCCCCGCCGGTCGACGAGTCCGCGTTCGATCATCTGGACGTTAGCGGCCTCCGTACTGCTACCGGTGGTGGGACGCAGTGGGATTCGAGGGTCACGGCGAACGCACAGGCCGGTTCGTGTAAACGATCTGGGACGCGTCGAGGCGAGCTTTGCCCGTGATCCGTGCGAGTCTGGAGGCACAACGCCTCATAGAAACGGTGGATTGAACAACTGAGCTGCCAGAATCGTGGGATCAATACCTAGACGGGCCAGTCGGATAGAACACAGTTGAATATAGGCTCATGAGAAGTAAGGGATACAATGGAGTGGCGCACGACCTGTTGTGCTCGACAATGAAAGTGGACCATGGAAACTCTGAGGGACCCGAGTACCTGGGCGTGGGAAGATATCACGTCACAGTGATACCAAGTGCAGGATACAAAAGGCTGGCCTTGATGGAAAGTCATGACAAAACTCGAAACAAGGAACATACGGGGAGCGCCGGCGCCCTCGCCAAGCATCCAACCCTGCGATTAAATCGAAAGAATTTTTTGAGATTTTGTCGTACCGAAATGACCAAAAAAAACACGACTTGCATCTCAGAGTCAGTCTGATTCTATGCTTACTCCGGCTGAAAACGCGTGTCGTCATAGAGCACGTTAATCAGCTGACCGTCGCCGCCGCTAGTCCTGATTCGTACTCTTCCGACCACCCATCCGACTCGGACTCCATGAGCCACGACTTTTTCACAATTCCAGGATACCTTCCTTGTTATCCTTGGCTCAACAGCGCGCCTTGTTCTGTTGATGTCGCAGTGGACTTGTGAGATGGGATCAGCAGGATACGACATCGATGGATTCGGCTCCATAGGCACGGTAGGTACAAGCTACTTGCCATCTACCATCTCGATGGCCTTCGTCAAATCGACGCTCAAGATACCCTCGCTACGTCCTGGGTGGGACCTCGATGCCTGGAAATACATGCCCGCCTCTATCTCTACGTCTGCTCCGACTCCCTTGCCTGTCATCGTTATGTACGGTGCTCTTTGGCCGCACCGCGAATTGGCTCACGATGCCATTATCCTTGCCACTACAGGGCGCACGGTTTCGGTGCAAACAAAACGATGGGCCTTGCGCTCTACGCGGAAGCATTCTCGACCGAGGGCTATGCTTGTCTGGTCTTCGACTATCGGCGATGGGGTGCCTCTGGTATGTGCTCGATTGCATGTAATTGTGTGCCTTCCTCATGTCGAACAGATGGGACCCCGCGCTCTGTGCTTGTCGTGCAAGACCAGTTGGACGATTATCGGACTGTCGTGGCTTATGCGAGGGCACAGGCGGCATTCGATGGGACACGGGTCATCATATGGGGATCTAGCCTTTCTGGTGTGCAAGCGAAATTGCTTTGGGTGAATGTACTTCTCATGTCTGGTATAGGTGCACACTGTATTACCCTGAGCACCGACGTCAGTCCGTTGCTCCTAAGCATCCATTGTTGACTGGGCTCAAAGACGTAGAGAACCGTGAACGCAGTCGCCGCATTGGCTCAATGTCCGTACACCGGAATGACACCGAGTCTGCCGCTGAATATGACTTACCTCAAACTGGCTTCCTCTGCCATCGCCGATCTCGTCAAACAAGCTCTCGGTTTGCAGCCTGTGTACATCCCTGTCGTGTCGGAGTCCGGGACGCTGGGTGCTCTGACGACACCGGGCACGGTCTCTGGCATGATGGCCATTTGCTCTTCGGACGTGTGAGCATTCTTCATAACCGATACTTGTCCAGCACTCATCGCGTCTGGTAGTCCCTATGAGAATCGAGTGGGTGCATCTCCTTGCACGCGAGAAAAGAGGCTGCATCTCGCAATTCTAGGTATCCGCATCCTCGGTGCTCCAGCTACCGCCCTATCAGCCCCGCACGAAAGCATTGCAAATCTCCTGCCCGTTGCTCGTCGTGCTTCCCACCCAGGACAACTTGTGCCTTCCAGACGGCGCGGTGGAGATATCGAAGACGACGGATAAATGCGAACTGGTCTCGCTGCCATGTCAGTACTCTTGCATTGTTGCTGGCACAGGTGGCTGACATTGCATGGAACTGGAGGTGGGCACTTTGATGTGTACCATGGCCTGTCTCATTATGAGGAATCCCTATCCGCTCAGGTCAAGTTTCTCCAAAAGCATGTTCCCATCTCTGGACTGTCTTGAGGTGGGGACGTATAGTACATGTTCATGGATGGAATGTATTCTTTGATGGCTGCGTAGTCTCCATGGGTTCGAGAGTGTGTTGAGCCATGTAATCCTCAGTCCTCGAGTAGGGGTGCGTTCCTAACAGTCGAGTCCCGCAGTCCTAAAATCGCCCTGTCACCCAGAACTCAGAGGTAGAGAGCCGGCATCGGGGTGGCAATCCAGTGGGAAGCTTCAATGGGTCAGTGAGGCCAATCTTCGAGTCTAGTAGCCGCCAATCTCGACGCCCGGCGGTATCCTGTAGCGTTCCCAGACGCCCTTCATTTGCCAATTCGGCTTTATGAAATGGTGCGCCCACCAATATTGATTCAGACGCGTATTTTCGGCTTCCTTTCTCCGATCATTCGGACATCTTTGCATTCCTAGAGACGAGGAGCGGGCACAGCGGGTGCACGGAGGGTGCGTAGAGGCAGAAGACAAGTCGGACGAGTCGAAGCTGAAGAAGCACTAGGGAGGCACATCAGGCACACGTGCCAGATCCGGCGGCAATCTAACCTCGGGCTGATCGCTTCGAAGCGCAGGTTCATAACTTTCCCTCACTCGCTCTCCTCCTCCTCCACCCCGCTTTCCTTTTCCCTCGTCCCCCCTCCGCCCCCAGCTGCCTCACTTCTCCCCGATCCCTTCAATCTAGTTGCCGACGCGCGCATCTGCCACCCGAAGCCACTGCATATGGCCGCTCCGACACAGGAACTTCCGCCCTGGCTATCGTACACGACTATCACACTCCCCCGAACCACGCAGACGAGTCTCGTGGTCGAGCCGCTCACGTACTTTGGGCCGAGCATACCGTTAGGGAGCGGTTGGGTGTTTGGGGGATCGACGCGGCCTGACACACAGCGGACGAGCCGGACAGACACGGTGGCATCGGCGACGCCCACATCGGCATCTACACCGGCTACGACTACCGCGAGATCTACGTCCGCGTCTCTTCCCGGAGGAGCATCCTCGCGATCGGCCTCCCGTGCGCCTGCTTCAGCCTCGTCCGCGACCCGGACTTCATCTACCCCTGCTTCATCGTCCTCTAAAATTTTTGCTTCATCGTCCACCACTTTGGCTTCGAGATCTGCTCTGTCTTCTGCCTCGTCCGTCGCGGGCGCACCGTCGCGTTCGGCATCCGCGGTCCCTATCTCCTCGTACTCCTCCCACTCTACTCTCACACGGGGCGAACTCGCGGCAATCATCATATGCTCAATCCTTGGTGCTGTCTTCGTCCTATTTGTGCTTTTCTTCCTCTTTCGCCGGCAGAGAGTGCGCGGAGGTGATCCTGTGAGTCTACGTCCCCTGACTGATACGCTCCTTCATCGCCACGCGCATTTTCACTACGGCGGCGTTTGTCTTTGCGTTGGGGGGTCTTTTTCTCTGCCTTCTGGAATGTTCTCGAGAATAGATTACATACTGACTCTATCTGTCGTCAGGATGCGCCTACACGAAGACGTATAAAGTTTGCGTCGCTTCTCCCGGCGAACGTTCGGAGGCTGTCTGGAACACGTTTTACCATGGTCACGCCAGCCGTGGATGGCGCCTCGGTGCAAGACTTCGACGCGGACTGGCTGGTCGTGCGGTCCCCGGGACAGGGGCAGCCGGGACACGGCGCGACCGAAGCCGATCCGTTCCTCACGCGCCGTGACGTGCAAGCGGTGGAACAGCCGACTGCTGCCGTTGGGCTCGACGAAAAGCTCCATACCACGAGCAACTCGTCCCGGGTAACCGAGTCGTCCGGGACGAATCTCTCCGGGTACGGTGTTTTGCTGGACCGGCCGGCGCAGGGGAGCCAACCTTGGCAAAAGGGTGGCGCAAGTCTTCCGCTGGGGGCGGCGTTCGCTGCCCACGGAAATGGACATGGACATAGCCACGGCTATGGTGCCCCAGTGCCCGGTCGCCGGATCCTATCCCCGGCCCAAGTCGCCAGTCTGGTCGAAGAAAAGGATTCGTTGTCGATCGTCACCGAGGGAAGCGAGCAGGAAGAAAGTCACGTTGCCGTTGCCACCAGAGTCCCTGTTGCCTCCAAAGGTGAGTGTGGGTCCCTCACTTGCGAATTGGAGGTCTAACGCCTCTCGCAGACAAAGAACATCGGCGGTCGTGGCTCTCTCGCTTCTCCTGGACCAACCGTGAAACCAAGGCCGCAGACGAAGAAAGCGGAGTGCTGTTGTTCGATGCTGGCCGACATACCCCCTCCAACTCAATTTCATCGCCGATGCGCGAGGTGTCGTCCACCTCGGTTTCCGCCGCGGGTGCGTCATCCAATCCGCGCAGGTCAAGCCAGCAAAGTGGGGAGACGGTCTACGAGGACGCGCTCGAGTACCTGCCCACAACCACCGATCCTTTGGATGTGCCGGCTCCCGCTGCGGTGGTCCCCGTGTTTGGCAGTCGGCTTGGACTAAATTCCCCTCGAGGCACTGGGGCGGCTACCCCCGGAATCTCCCCTCGGCCCGCGTCAGGCGCGTTGAATCTGGATATCGACGATGTGCCTCCTGTGGCAGAAGGCGGCTGGCAGGCTCTCGGTGGCGGTGGTGCCAACGTTGGAAGGCGAGGGACCTTTGGCGGGGGCGCGTCAGCCATGGCACCCCACAGATCAGACTCGCTCTCCTCTGGTTCGCGGTCAGGCCATAGCCACATGACCTCGGCGCACTCGCAGGAATCCTCCGCGGGTTCCGCCCGGATGCATGCTCTGCAACCTTCACGGTCGGTGGAGGGCCCCGCCAGCCCGACTTTGAGTGCATTTGGACATCGAGCGAGGAATGCCGACCAATCGGGGTCGAGCGGCTCGCGGCGCCAGGAGTCGTTGAGGTTTGGCGAGCGGACTGCCAGCCCGTTCCCGCGATCCCGCAGCCCGACACATGCGATCTTCTCGAACTCGTCCTGGGCAGCGGGTTTCGACCAAGACTGGCGTGCGGCATGATGGGACATTGTGCACAATATCTATCATCGCGTTTGGACGATCTGATTCATTTTATACCATCTACTCTTAGAGGCTGCCTGGTACCTGGCTTCTCACGACTGTCTTGCATACATATCTTATGTGTATCCTTATCCTCACATGATGTATTTACGTTCTTACGATCACTCACGACCCCCAATGCGATACCTCTTACGATTCATCTGCCGCTGGGCTTTGGCAGAGCTTTTGTCCACAACAACTCAAACTCCAAAGCCATTGGTCAAGTGATTCACGCAGCATTGAATCAAAGCCTCTGATTCAGTTACAAGACAAAACAGGAATGGAATGACTGAATATGTTACAAGTATGTACATGAGTGCCAATTGCTCCGGAACCATTGGCATAAGGGCAACAGTTATGGCCACGTAATCCAGTATGTGTAAGACTCGTCATCGACTCTTGTGGCTGAAATGTGAGTTCGAATATCGAGGATTCAATCTCACAGAACATTTCACGGATGCGCGTTCCTTTCTATGTCTGCTCCGTCCTCCTTGTTGGCATCCGATTGTGCGCCTCGCACCCTGATCAGTAATAGATTGCAAGTAATTGGCTGGGGGGATGTTTCAGCTTTCACTCCTTGGCCTGCGATTACGAGCCGTTTGGGATTGACGACCTACAATAATATGTGTCATCTGAAGCTAGAATTTCAGCGCTGTAAATGTCGTGAAACTGGATCTCACGCACGCAGAGAGCGTCTATGAACTCTAAGTGCCCTCCGGAGAGAAGTCCGGAGAGATATACGACCAAAGATGCGACTAGAGCAAGGGTGTAGATCAATCCAGTTTCAAAAAACATTCGGGCCACGCGGGTGAGAAGCTGCTGTGGCACAGAGCTTGTGCCGGTGTCGACTGAGCGGAGTCGCCGCACAATCAGGACTTGTTACAAAAGTTGGGAGGACGTCACTGAAGAGTCTAGCGGACGGACATACATGTCGTGGAGACACTTGTAACACACGTCAACAGCAACACCATCAAGATCAGGATGAACACGGTGGGACCGTTCGATGGCCTCCCGGGCGGTAGGATCAGAACAGCCAAGGCGCACAGCTCAGCCACTGCAAGGTTACCACTGATGAGTAGAAGCCCGGTAGCACTTGGAGGAGAGAATGATACCAGTGAGCAGGAGGTAACTGACGAGCGGAACCGCAATCTTCTTCCAATTGTGAGCATGCAACACGTAGCATCGATAAATCTATCAGCGTGGGTCAACGATCATGATCTTTGTGCGACGCCGTGCGACTCACGATGAGTCCATCTCCAACAAAGATCTGGGTCCCATTGGTCAGCAAGATCATCCGCTGCCTAGACCCGGACCCGTTGCTGTTGAAGAATTACGAGGGCCCACCGGGGCCGGTATACTTGACAAACCCTTCCATGGCTATTTGGATGGAGAATACCGCAGCAAGCGTCGAGACAAGGAACATCACGACGGTGGCCACCAGGATGGGAAATCTCATATCCTGACGGCGCTTGAACTCGAATCGCTTTTTGTCCTGCTCGAGAACGAGTGACGCGAGCGCTGAGACGAATGTGGTGAACAGTATTCCTGTTCGAGGCTGTAAGCTTGCACAATGCGATGTGCGGCTGGCTCAAGCACACCATAAAGAATAGAACCGAAGAAAAGAGCAAGCAAATATTCCGAAGGCTGAAGTTGAAAAGGTGCCATGAAGGCGAAAGAGAGAGTGCGAGAAGAGACTACCTGCTCCCCTCCCGCACGACTTGTTTCAAAAGTCCAAGAACGTTCGTTGAGAACAGCTTCGATGATAGTATAATACGATGGTTCTGTGTGACAGATTGATTCTGAGCCGGTGTTGGTCATGATGCAGCATTTGATTAAGAGCCTGATTGGAAACGCGACCCTTGTTGAATCATTATCTGACGGAAGATGAACTCGTGGCTTAGCGACATAAGCCTTCTCAAACGATATGGACTGACGAGCGTAAGCGTGAGATTGTACACCTTGGTCAACATTTCACAAATAGTATATGTGAATGGCATATCCCAATCGAGAACCCTTGACCGTACGATTCCCAGCTGTGTTCGCAAGACGGATGAGTCTTGTAGTTGAAGTATGTTGTGATTGGCACACGTCCAGAAAGTCAGTCACCGTGTCCGATGTGCAGCTCGTTTTCCGACATGCATACATAGTCCCGATTCATGATCCCACGTTACTTACTGGCCAGTGAGTCTGTCCCACAAATCGCATGGGCCGTCAAAGGAAGAGCTATCCGCCATCTCGACCACATCGCCCACCGCGACATTCCCGTTGTAAGCGAGCTTCGCGAGTCTCGGCGCACGAGGGTTGTGTCTCTCCCAGTTGGGCGCGGGCGGCTCCGTCGGGTTCTTCACGAAGTTTGCGATCAGTGTCTGCATCGTCTGCGAAAGTATTCGCTCGGCAGGTTCAGCTGTTGTCGCATTGTAGGTCCCGAAGATCATCGGCACTAGCTATGCGTCAGACGATGTAATGCACCGCAAATAATCTGGCATTCTCGTACGTTCTGAAGTGTGCCAGGCCCCGGCTCCGGGGTAGGCTTGTAGATCGTCGAACACCGGTCCTGGGAGGATGTTAACGAAACGAAACGAGACTGATAGGGGATGGAATCACCATAAGCATATCGATAGACATCCTTCAGACCGCCGTCCACGGCGGCCTGCGTCCAAAGATGAGCAGGGCTGCGTGGTAGGTCAGCTGTGGAATCCACCCCGCATGCTGATAGCATACCAAAGGAACAAGAGGTCTCTCGCAGCCGCAGCTGGAATCTCTGCGCTGCTCAGCGCAGGATACAGCTTTTGCACTTGATCCGGGGTGAAGAGTCCGGGCAGCATGATGTCCAGAAAGACCAACAGATTGGATGGATCTGACAGCAGGCCCGCCGTGACGATCGTCCCGTCGTCCTGGGTGTGTCCAATAATGGTGGGCACGCGCGCTGTGAGTCCACTTCGAAGGCGCACAACAGTATTCGAGAACGCCGTGACGCTGGGTGCGCTCAGTAGTGTGTCACCGGAGGGAGCGGCCCGGCATGCTTACTTGTCGACTACAGGCATGAACGTCGGATTCTTTGGCCCATGTAGCGCAGTCCTGATATCGGAGGCGGGTACGTCCCTGAGACATTGGAGTCTAGCGGGCCCAGCATCCATGGGACATCCGAGATCGGCCGAAAACGCATCGAATGTCAAATGACCGGTCCCAAGAGGCGACGCAGCCGGTCTGAGAGCCCCTGAGAGTAGTATCGCTCCGCGAAAAGGCGCGGAATCGGGAGTGTGTCGTGAGACCATGTCGCTCACAGACCACGATCCGGCAGATTCTCCCTATAGCAAATAGTTACATGATTCCCCGACGGTGCGTGGAGTAAGCGGACGCACCATGATGGTCACTTTCACTGGGTCCCCGCCGAAATGAGCGATGTTCTGCTGAACCCAGCTCAGAGCCAGCTCTGGGTAAGGCATGAAGGCACTGATAGATGCAGGGTTTTGACAACCAAACCTTGATCCAAGAAGCCCAAGTTTGTCTTCTCGAGCGGAATCTCGGGGCTCGCGGGGAATCCAAAGACATTCAATCGGTAATTGATAGTGACGACAATGATGCCGTGGTTCCTCGCCAAGCTCTCGCCGTCATACAGAAGATTAGACGCACTCCCATAAGTAAACCCGCTAAGCGACCATCATCGGCTGGAGAGCATGGCGATGAGCTGACATGCACGCACCCGCCGTGGATCCAGAAAACAGTCGACAGATTGGTGCCGGAGGTGGGGGCCCATACATTGCTGTTCTCAATCTGTTCATTTATCACCCATGACAAGGAGTCAAGCTCACAGGAAGAGACAATCCTCGCTCTCTTGAAGCGGTGGTGCGTTGAACAATCCTTCAAAGAACGGCCCGTTCCCCATGAACTGCTGGATGCACGATGGGCCGAGCGACGTCGATTGCAACGATTCATTCGAGGCGAATGGCATTGGGGGGTGCCAACGCAGACCGCCGATCGGAGCTTGGGCATATCGCTGCGCAGACAGATCAGCCACCTCCAGCACGGGACGACAAGATCGAGCCAGTCTCACCACTCCCTTGAACATCCTGACTAAACGGGATTCAGATACGTGCACAGCCGGGATATCTGGCCGCTAGACTCACCCCCATCCTGTTCCGCACCGCGCAGTAGCCCCGAAGACGTCGATATCGCGGGGCGTGTCCCGAACGGGCGGCGGACGAAGAGCGCCGCTAGCAGCAGCGCGAGGAGACTGGAAAGCAGGGCAGGGCGGGGGAACGACATCGAGAGTCGAGACGAGCAGGTGCTGACATCGCGGCCCTGCTATATTCCTGGGAATCTGCCTTGGCATGGGAAATGTCGCGAGTAACCACGGGGATGCTTGGTGGCATGAGTCCCATATGTACATTCACGATGCTCCTTCGTTGGTGAACTGGATTCCCTCCGATGTCCGGTGTGAAGAGTGCGATTGGAACCACGACTCGGAATGATGCTGGTGCGAGAAGGCGGGCCGTAGAGAGAAAGTGTCAAGTTCGACTTGTCATGATAGAGCGGAGATCTGTTCCCGAATTACACGCTATTTCCCTCCCTTTGAGTGAGAGTAAGGCAGTGAATCCGTCCAGAGGTGTGATCAGCCACTAAACGGATTGAGAGGCCGGCGTCACAGCTTTGTCTCCTCACGTGTATACATGATGAGTCATCCACAGCTTCAATTTGGCGCAGTTGCGGCCACAATTCCATGACTTCTGAGCAAGCGATTGTGGCATAAGTTTGAACAAGATCGAAGTCGAAAATTGCACAGCGCGACCCCGCTACATTTTCATTCCGGCGGCGCGTGGAATAAATAGAAAGTGTCATCTCACGGTCGGATGGAAGGCAAGAGATGGCTCGTGCACCGGCCAGGGACACAACTGCCGTGGGCTTCTGAGCACGCTGAGAACCTCAGCAAGGAAGCTGTCTGTCATTGGACCACAACTCCACGAAGTCATCATCCACGTTTGTGTGTCCCGCGTCTCGCATCCTCTTAGGCCGCTTGGTCTGAATCCACAGCAGGGAAGTTTCCTCTCTGTGTGATCGTCTGTCGGCGCTGGGAAATTCCCAGTTGGGGTCTCGAGATGTCAAGTCCCGCAGTCGACGCATGCTGTCATTGGCACACGTCAAGAATGTAAGTCTTCGTGCCTGAGGTGCAGCTCGTTTCCCGCCGTGCATGCATATGCCCTTGCTTATAATTCCACGATACTCACTGAACAATGAGTCTGTCCCACAAAGCGCATGGGCCGTCAAAGGAAGAGCTATCCGCCATCTCGACCACATCGCCCACTGCGACATTCCCGTTGTAAGCGAGCTTCGCAAGTCTCGGCGCACGAGGGTTGTGTCTCTCCCAGTTGGGCGCGGGCGGCTCCGTCGGGTTCTTGACAAAATTTGCGATCAGGGCCTGCATCGTCTGCGAGAGTGTCCGCTCAGCGGGCTCGGCCGTCGTTTGGTTATGGGTTCCAAAGATCATCGGAACTATAGTAGCTATGCGTCAGGCGACATAATTTACCGCAAATGATTGCGCATGCTCGTACGTTCTGAAGTGTGCCAGGCCCCAGCTCCGGGGTAGGCTTGCAGGTCGTCGAACACTGGTCCTGGGAGGACGTCAACGAAATGAAACGAAACCAGACCGTTGGTAGGAGGAATGACCATAGGCATATCGATAGACATCCTTCAGACCGCCGTCCAAGGCGGCCTGCGTCCAGAGATGAGCAGGGCTGCGCGGTAGGTCAGAAGTAGAATCCACCCCGCATTGCAATAGCATACCAAAGGAACAAGAGGTCCCTCACAACCGCAGCTGGAATCTCTACGCTGCTCAAGGCAGGATATAGCTTTTGCACTTGATCCTGGGAGAAGATTCCAGGTGGAAGGATGTCCAGAAATGGAATCGGATCTGATGGATCTGACAGCAAGCCCGCCGTGATGATGGTCCCATCGTCCTGGGTATGCCCGATAATGGCGGGTACGCGCGCTGTGAGTCCACTTCGAAGGCGCACAACAGTATCCGAAAACGCTGTGATACTGGATGCGCTCAGCAGTGTGTCACAGAAGGAAGCGGCTCGGCATGCTTACTTGTCGACCACAGGCATGAATGTCGGATTCTTTGGCCCATGTAGCGCAGTCCTGATATCGGAGGCGGGTACGTCCTTGAGACATCGCAGTCTAGCTGGCCCAGCATCCATGGGGCATCCGAGATCAACCGAGAGTGCATCGAACGTCGAATGGGCAGTTCTCGGGGGCGCCGCGGCCGGCCTCAGAGGCCCAGAAAGTAGTATCGCCCCACGAAAAGGCGCGGAATCGGGAGTGTGTCGCGAAACCATGTCGCTTACGGACCACGATCCGGCAGATTCTCCCTATAGCAAACAGTTACATGATTCCCTGACGGTGCATGGAGTAAGTGGACGCACCATGATGGTCACTTTCGCGGGGTCCCCGCCAAAATGAGCGATGTTCTGCTGAACCCAGCTCAGAGCCAGCTCTGGGTAAGGCATGAATTCACTGATAGCTGCAGCAGTATTTGGCAAGCGAACCTTGATCCAAGAAGCCCAGGTTGGTCTTCTCGAGCGGAATCTCGGGGCTCGCGGGGAATCCAAAGACATTCAATCGGTAATTGATAGTGACGACAATGATGCCGCGGTTCCTTGCCAAACTCTGGCCGTCATACAGAGGGTTAGACGCACTCCCATAGGTAAACCCGCTGAGTAAACATGAGCTTGAGCTATGATGTTAAGCTGGCGTTTACACACCCGCCGTGAATCCAGAAAACGGTTGACAGATTGTTGCCGGAAGTGGGTGCCCATAAGTTTCTGATCTTTGTATGTTTGTCAGTCTAACAACAACGGGCCAAGCTCACAGGAAGAGGCAATCCTCGCTCTCAAGAAGCGGCGGTGCGTTGAACAGTCTTTCGAAGAATGATTGATTCCCGATGAATTGTTGAGTACAAGATGGACCGAAAGACGACGAGTCAACTGATGCGTTCGAGACGAATGACACTGGAGGTTCCCAGCGCAGACTGCCGATCGGAGCTTGCGCATAACGCTGATTAGACAGATCACCACTCGCCTGCACGGAGTGACGAGATCGAGGAAGCCTTACAACTCCTTTGAACATCGTGACTAACTAGGAATGAGACCAGAGCAAGAGGAGGATATCCAGCCACACTCACCCCCATCCTTTTCCGCACCGCGCAGCAGCCCCGACGAGGTAGATATCGTGGGACATGCCCCAAACGGGGAGCGAACGAGGAAAGTCGCTAGTAGTAGCGCGAGAAGACTGGACAACAGAGCAGGGCGGATAACCGACATCGAGAGGCAAGACAAGCAAGTGCTACCATCCCGGCCCTACTATATCCCTGGAGACCACTTTGGCATGGGAAGTCGATGACACAAGCAGCCACGGGACAGTGGCATGAGTAAAATATGCCCGGCAACAGAGGCCCTCCGTTGGCGAGTGAAATCCAGATGTCTGGTGCGATGTACGAACCAGGCTCGAACAATGTCACGGATGAGGCTTCAAGGAGCAGGTAACAAGCTCAACTTGTAATACTAGAACGAGGAAGAGATCGCGAGTTGCATTCCAGAACTTTTTCGTCGGATGAGACCAAGGCATTGAATTCATCCGGACGTGTGATCAAGCTTTGAGCAGCCTTCGCCTAGCATTCGGGATTTGAAACATCAGTACTCTGACACATCACGTGCAACTTCTTAGTTGAAGTGAATTGATGCGGTTGTCCAACTTGTCGAAGCCCTAGTTCCTTGACTTCTGAGTGAGGAATTGTAGGAAAACTCAAGACCAGAACGAAATGGGCGGTGAACCGTATTCGAGCTGCCAGTTTCTCATTCTAGCGGCCTAGGGAAGGCCAAAACTTGCATTAGGTGTCATCTCACGATCAGATGCAGGCCTAGTAAGTAGTCCTTGCAAACCGGCCAGGGACGTAACTGGCCTGGGGCTCTGAGAACTGCAAATAACATCAACAAAGAAGTTGCGTGTCATTCACACAACAGCCAAGTCATCACACGTCTGTGTGTTCTCCAAAAGTCTAACCAACATCACGACACTCCTTACAGGCTTCGTAAGATTTCTCAACTCAAAATCCTTTAGAGGAATAGCCAAAGAGAAGGAAGAATCAGATGTATATACCCCAAAGAACCGTTATATACTATATACCACAGGACTCAGACAAGTATTGCAGAAGATACAGCAGAAGCCAAGGTCGCCGAGATCGGGAAACAAGAAAACGAGACAGAGACTGTGGAGGAAGAGCCTGACGCATACGACATGGACGATGCAGATATGCGAAGAAAGCAGTTGGAGAGCGTCATGAAAGTGCCGCAAACGCGGAGAGCATGGAAGTGTCGAGCAATGAGATGCCTGAAGATCCGTGTCAATCACCAGGGACTGGAAGAAACAGCAACCAAAAGCTGACCTTCTTAGAGACAGATGTCCTCCATTCAAGTACGGCGCGGAGAAGTGGAGCTGGACTCCTGTGACTCCCGCGAGTATGAGCTGTGGCTGCGGCTGGGATCAACGCCAGTACGACGGCCCGTGAACTCGATGGAAGTTGCAGTCTGGGACTGATTAGGGCGATTGCTCTGGTGATATGAAGTCATCGGTAGCCCCGGGTAGGATACCCCGGAAAAGTCGTAAAGCTCAGATGCCGGTCGATGGGGATGATGACGCCCCGACCCGCTGCTGCCTTGGCTTGAAGAGGACGATGAAGGCGACGCGGGCGTTTCCATCATGCTATAGCCCCAACGATGCTGGCTTTCCGGCAAACGGCCGAGATGATGCGATTGAGAAGCAGACTGGGAATGCTCAGCAGGTGACGGCGGTGCCCTCTATCGTCGTCGTCCTCATCAGACTCGGTCTCCTCATGCTCGTTGCGCCCACCCCTCTGTTTTCGCTTGCGAGGGCGCTTGTGGCAAGACCTGCAGACAGATCCAGCTCCCAGTGATGGCCCTTGCCGGGCTCTGTCACCGGCCGATGGCGAAATCGGAACGCTTTATTCCGGAAAGATTGTGGCATATGGAGCTCTCGCCGAAAATGGCGTGCGCGAGTGAGTAAATGACGACGCGCAACACGGAACCCGGCGCATCAAGGTGCACCTCGTTGCCCACCTTCCACGAGACTTCATCCCCAGTGCACCTGATACCAAACGAACCGATTCGCGAGCTCCTGGTCATACCCTGGAGCGTCAGACGCTTGTGCACGCTGCCCCAGATGACCGGCTTGATCAGATTTGGCACCGAGACGCCCGGCTTTTCGCCCACTGCCGGCGTGCCGAGTGGGATGGCCAGCTGTGCCGTGGCTCGGCCTCCGTGTCGAACGGCTACGGGGCGTAGAATGGTGACGGCGGGTATCGGACCGAGCCTAAGGCATGATGAGGCGCGTGATAAGACGAGGGTTGGTCTGGATACTGAGCGCCAGACTGTTGGACGATGCCCGTTGTGGGTTATGGAAAAACTCCGGGGGAGATGGATCTACTAGGACGGAAGCACGCGGCGGTGTAGTCATGCGCACCTGGGCAGCGTTGGACCGGGTTGGGATCACAGAAGTATCCTCTTCACGAGGAGCATAAGATCGTGTGCATGCCTGTGGCCCCGACGGATAACGGTGGGGCCTAGAAGCACTTGGTGCATGATGAGATCCATCGCCACTCTGACTTCCAAAGTCGCCCCCATCACCGGAATGATACGACCGGGGAGTCTCGAGCGACCCGTTGGTGCGCCTGACCGTTGGGTCAAAGTCTTCAAAGTGCTGGTGCTGTTCTGTCATCCTTCCGACCTCTTCCGACCGTCCGACAGCAGGGGTTGGGTTCGTGAGCCACAGACATGAGAATTGCAAATACACGTGGCATAGCGCACGCGACGCGGCGGAATTCGATCGAGTTGATGCGGAAAAGAGGGAAAGGTTGCAGGTAAAATGAACTTACGTCAGCGATCAAACTTCGGAAGTAAACTCCAAGAAAGGAAACTCGTGGAAATTTCAAGCGTTTATGGGCGCAAGTGGGTGTTGGGAACGTAGCAAATTGCAGGGACCTCTGGAGAGTCCAAAAATAATCTGATAACTCATGCAAAATTACCCACTGCTCCAGGATTTGTATTGAAAACCAGGCGGTCCGTCTTCTACCTCCCGCCGGCAAGATTACGGCGCCGTCTGTCGGGAGATCATTGCATCTCCATGCGATCATTGATGCAGATGCTTGGGGGTGCGTGCGCCCACCGGCGAAATAATCAGCTTCCGTTACACAGGCATGTGCCTAACCCCTCGGCCATGTCCACAGACCTGATTTGTTTCTTATCAAGGTGCCCGTTTGGGAAACCCGGAGAAAGAACAAAACATCTCTTCATCATCACAATCTTCTGAAATCAAAGCGAATCCGGCGCACACGATTCAAAGCGCGACGGATCTGGTACCGAAAATAGGGCGCGCAAAGCTCTAGTAGAGAGCTCGCACGTCTGTGATGACGCTGCTAGATCTCTCTCGTCACTCGCCGGTGCAAATGCCGCTTTCATCTGCAGGCCACGTTCAAGAGTGGATTCGGCGGCCCACCGCCTCATTCACAGGTCCAGAGACCACGGCGGGTGTTGACTGAAATTTGGATGCCCCATATCTTACTTACATCGAGACTCGCATCACCGACCCAATAAACAGTACATACCCATGGATGTGGTGTGAGCCACCAAATATCCGCAACAAATTCGTCGTAATATCTTTTGGATCGGGTCACACTAGTAATTTGTTCGCTAACGCCTGCCTTTGCGTTTTGTTTGTTCAACTTACACTCACGGCAGGTAAGTAGCGTCTGCTCAAATCCCAGATCGATTCAACTTGCGATCTCGCTCTTATCTACTAATGTGGCTCGGATCGACAAGACTCAAAGAGTGATCATCAATCATTGACAGTAGCCAATTTGACGCGATCGAAACCAACCTCGGCTGGCTCAAGTCTGCTCAAGTGCTCTCAATGGACAAGAAGGTCGAATGGTGTACGCGTTGATGACGGGTGCAGATGATCTTCCCCAACGATCGTCAACATTCCCCTGATGCGCCATCACACCACACAGCCCCAATCAAGGCTCTGCGCTGGACTTGGGCATTGAGCGAGAGTTAATCCATAAACTGAGAACATATACGAGAGACAGGTGTTTGTAAAGATGGAGCGTCAGAGCAGAAAGTCGTAGTCGTAAAGAGTAAGGAGAGAGCCATTCCGGAGACGCAAAGAGATAATAGTTGTACGTGTATGATGCAGAGCCATTCGAATGAGCGATAGATGCGTTCGGGGTCCACTCACGGCCTGGGGATGATGCCAGCGTATTCGCCCTCCTGCACTCGGATCTCCACCACTTCAATCGATTCGTACTCTGTCAAAGCCGAGTTGGTCGAAGACACGGAGCTCGGCATGAATCCCGAGGACGAGGGCGGCGAAGTGGATGCAACATCTGACACGGATTAGACTCAGTCTGAACAGGACACACGATCCGACTGACATCGATCCTTGATGTATGGAGGAACAAAGAGGTCCTATCGGCGCATCGTCCGTTCAGCACAGGCGATGGTCTCAGGAGATGCGGAGTACAGACCTGGTTCCAAACAAAACCTTGGCTCCGCTGGATGGTCAGAATGGGGCGCAACGTGAAAACCCGTTCCCGCTGGCGCGGTTTCGGACGCGAGTGACGCTTGCGAGGGGCAGCCTCCGTCGGAGGTTCCACTGCACGCTGCTTCCCCTTCGCAAGGGACACATGGGGGTGCGAGGTGGTACTATCTCGTGAATCGGACTCGTCAGCACGCGGCGCGTCGATGTCCATCTCCATCTCGGCTGCGACGGCGTCCTCGACCGCCGCGCCACCGCCGCCGGGGTGGTCCTCCATATCGGAGTCGCTGCTCCCACTGGCGCCATCGCGGTACTCATCTCGCTGGTCGTCCGAGTCAGACTCGTCGCTCTGGTCGTCGTCGTCCTGCGGGTAGTAGTCGTTGATCTGCTCGTAGCACGCCCAGGTCGGTGGGGACGCTGCGCGGCCGATACGACGGCGGAAGTTGTACGAGGTGCTACTCATGGTGCGATATGGCTATTAGACGGAAAGACGAGCGCTGACACAGAGAAAGCTGCGAACGAGCAGTGGTCGTGCGGAAGCAGTGAGGGTGCAATGAGGTCGATCGAGTCACCTCGGCTGGGATTCCGGATTGATACGATCATCTACCGCACTGATGCCGCTGATTGTGGAGCTGTTATGCGGCTGCGCGCATGTCATGAGACCTCACAACTGTCAGTCAACTCCACGATATGGGCGGCGAATTTGGAGCAGCGCAATACGCGAGCTCCCAAATAGAAGAAACCTTCGGTAATCTCAAACAACGACTGATTGAGCAAGGTGTTGGGCCAAAAATCTGCTTTTCTCTCTGACTCTGAAGGAAACTGTAACGGTCCTCCGGTCCACTTCTGTCACCTCAGTCCCACCTGGACTGACTGGCTTGCGATTTTTTCTTTGCCCAGCTCATAACAACATAATTAAAGCTTCTCATCGCCTTGACAACATACGTTAGACAAACTTCTTAGTGTGGAGCAACTGGAGTCGCTTCCAAGCGATCGGGCTACCCTGCGACGGATCACGAACGACTGGGAGAGATATAAAAACTGAAGGCTCTCTGTTCTCTTTCAACAAATCAACTCACCTACCAGCCCTCACCAATAGCCACTCGTTTTACCCAACCGTCGCTCATTATCATGTTCTCCATCTCGCAAATCGCCCTCACCGCCGCCGCGTTCGCTGCATTCACCACCGCTGCGCCCATCGAGCACTTCCCCAAACGGGACTTGATCGCTCTTCCCGCGATCCTCATTCAGCTGTCTGTGGACCTTGCCCCGGTCACTGCTAGCCTATGTATGTCGCGGTCCAGCGTTCTTGATCCAGTTCAACTCATAATACGCTTCAGCTTCCATCACATCCGCCAATGCCACAGCGGCAGTCGTGCAGCCGATCGCTCACCAGCTCTCAACAATCTTGAGCGGCGCTGTCTCTGATGTCTCGGCCCTTGCCGGCAGTCCTCTGGATGTCGTGCTGGCCACCACCAACGGTGTCCTCGGAGCCACGCAAACCGCTCAGCTTGTCGCACCTGTGGTTCAGGTCGGTTTGCAATGCTAGCGGCTCAGGATGGTTCTTGGTGCTGACGATTGTTTAGATGGTCTTGGGCTCTGCTCAAAGCGTACTCAACGTCGCTGGCTCTACCGGTGCAGTCTCGGTCATCCAGCCTATCCTGAATGACGCACTGTGAGCCCAATCCGCTAATGTACCAAATCACCGCTAATTATTACTCAGTTCGGTTGTCAACCCCCTTCTGTCTACGGGCCCCCTCTCTCCTATCGTCAACGGCCTCCTTGTTGCGCTGGTCCCGGTGCTGACCCCGCTCACCGGGATCCTCAACGTTCTCGGCCTTGGATCGGTCATGAGATTGGTCAACTCCGTGGTCTGAGTCACGGCTTCTTGATCCCAATCCTGCTTTCATTACCCAATATCACTCAAACGTTGTGAATATATTGATACCTTCCCGTCCCGGCTTTCCGTCACGTTGATAACTTCAGCGCTCTCATTCGGGGCATGGCGCTCAGCCTCTTTTGTCCTGTCCTATTTCTCCCGAAATCTCCGTGCTGAACGCGCTGGGTTGAAGTTTGTTCCGTCTCAATGCTGGCTGCGGACGATACGAATCCCGAAACCCTCCGTGAACGCCAGTCAAGGCGGCCGGTGGAACGACTGAGTCAGGCGACGAGCCTCAAGCGGCGTTCGCCGCAGGCGCTGGCTCCTATTTCTTCGTGCAGTCCTTTTAGCTAGCTCAGTCAGATGGGTGCTGAAGCGCTGGAGCCGAGTCTCGGCACGAGCTTGCGCTTTCTCTGATTGAATTATCAGAACGGATCTAAATATACGGAGGCTCAGCAGTGCAGCAGCAACTGCGGCCGTTCATACCAAAAGAGGCCCTAAATAAGATTGTAATGCAGGACGGGACGCTCTAGTACCTTTCCTTGGCAAGTTGGAACTCCAAGCCGCGTTTCCGGCTTTGTCCAAGGTGCGCTCATCAACGATCTGAAATACCGTGTGATTTGTATAGTTTTTGGCGTGACGTGTGGATGGGAACACAGATATTCTTCCGCACTACTAGGATGCTCCCTTTACGAGATAGCGCGTCGAGAATGTGGTAATTGGATTGAAAATGCGAGAACAAGAGTTCTTGGCCTTTTTTGAGACCGTAACTGAGGATTTGCTAAAAAGAACAGGTATTTCACCTTCTGACTGGCATGAGCCTGCGCAGTGCTTTTGCCTCCTTGCTGGACCAGGGCCCATAATGCGGTGTTTGATTTGAGCTATGTCGCTTCAGGCTAGCAGGCAAAATACGCTCAATGTCATGGGAATTCACCATCTGTCTGGCGCCAAGAGAATTTATCCCTGAATAGGCTTTCGCTGGCCATGGGATACTGCACGGTTCTTCCATCAAACGAAGGTGGATACTTGGGGTGTGTGTCCGGGATGTACCGCAGGAAGGACCTTCGTTTGTCTCCGACTTTAGAGCGAGGTTGATTTTTTCAGAAGGACATTGCGAAGATTCCATATGAGCATAGCGCGAAAGATCGGCCGCCTCCATATAGACGTTATCTCATCTGACTCCCCGAATGCAAGAACAATATCAACATGATGTTCTATGAGATCACGAGCGGCGCGATCCCTGAGCTGTAGAGCACGTTCATGATTTGGCTTGGCAAAGTTGTTCCTTCGCGAAGTCGGTGGCAATTTGGATGAACTGAATTACGTAAATTAGATAGAGCCCCATCGTTCATGTGCACTGATGGAATACCTGTCCGTTAAACCGAAGCACCGTGCAGGTCTCAGGCCGGAGAGGATCCAGAAGTCTAAAGCTGCGCACGTGGGCAAAGCTCAATAGGCTACCTATGACGTTCAAGACAGCCCTGTCAAACTGATGCGTTTTAACTCCGCATCATACCGTCTGCCAAATAGATGACAACGATTCTCGATCAAGGGCTGTGACTTGACAGCTACTACCACGACCCTCTAGCAGCGCCTTTGACCGCGCGTGCATGAAGTCTTGTGAATTCTGTAACGTGAGCAAAGAAAAGGGATTCGATATTCTCTATGAGGTAGGCTTTACCCATGCAACAGGCGAATCAGGGCTTAAATTAGTTTGGGACAGGATGATTCCTTTGTAGCATTCGGTGATCATAAGCCTGCTGCTGAGCACCACATCCAGCTAGTTCCCAAGATCCACATCAGTTCGCCGCTCCCGCTTTCCGAAGTCCGTTGGCGGCCGATGACCTTTCTAAGCTAGCGTGAGATCGTTACAGCAACGAGATGTTGAACTTGGTCAGTCCCCGTGTCTCATTGAAATGCGGGGCTACCCGGCTCAATCTTTTTCTCTTGCTAGTGCAAAGCATGAAGTCCATTGGCGCGCAGCTTTTGGATGACCTATCTGTTCCGGTCTCAATGCGAATGTGCGTGTTCCGCCATTGGACTGTGCCGAATCGTTCCGACGAGAAAGTTAGAATGGGGTTTCATATCCCCCCATTCAATTCCATTGGGCATCTACACTTGCATGTTCAGGCACTGCCGTACAAGCCACTACGACAGGCGAAATATCCCATTTCCAAGGGCTTCGGGCCGCTCAGTAAAGGATTCGGGTGGTTCGTCGACGTGGATCAGGCGATACGGATACTCAACAGCGGACGATCCATCGGTGTACTTCCTTGTTAAATCATGACGTCATTCCCGCCTGCCAGCTCTTCAGCGCTCCGAATCCTCCGCAGCACAGGTGTTGCGACGCATTCGTAACTCGACGCGATACCGGATCATTGTGGGACTCGAGTTCTCGATGCTTGCTCAATGTTTTCTCCGACTCCCGCATCAACTGAGCTTGGAATGGGAACGATGGGCGATGCTGGCAGCGACGCGCGGCCATGATCATCCCCGTGAGACCTCCCCCTGACCTGTGTTACTTCGATATATCTCCCCGATCGTGGCGCGTTAAGAGAATGGATTTCCAAATTTATCCTGCCGACCTGCCGCAGCGTGCTGACTTATTCCTGTGGTCTACCAAAACTTGTCGTAAGCCCTCCTCAGAGCCGTCACTGATTGAGCAGGCGAATGTTCAGTTCATCCCGAGCTGGTCCGGCGGCAAACTAAACCATAGAGTCCTTTCGTTTAAATACCAAGGTTTCAGCCGTGTCTTACTCCAAGGTCAACCATCCCTCTGCGAACATGTTCCCCAAAGCCTCAATCTCGAACTTTATCTTCTTGTCCCTCGTCTTGGGATTAGGCGCTAGAGCTGCTCCCGCTTCTGTTGATACTGCTGCCCACCGCTCGTCGACGCCGGCCACTTCGTCGACTGCGACCGTCGCCAGTCTGTCGTCAGTCATCCCAACTGTGCTCTCGGGCTTCGCCAGCACAAATCCCAACGGCCCGCTCTGGAGCCTCGATTCGGGCACGCCGCAGCCCGAGCGCGGCAACTTGGGCGCGTCGATCATCGGGCCGAGCAATCTGCCTGTGGAGCAGGAGAATCCCGACTTGCTGGCACCCCCGTCGACCGACTCGGGCTCCGTGTAAGCCCACTCGCCTCGGCGCTGTTGGTGGGATCTTGCTGACGCGCTGCTAGTGCCAACGCCAAGTGGCCTTTCGCGCTCAGTCACAACCGGATGACCAACGGTGGCTGGGCCCGTCAGGAGAACAGTGCGCTGATTTTCGCTGCGTCAACGTAGATCCCGTTCTGATGGAATGACGCACAGTCGGAGCGCTGCCAATCGCAACTTGTACGTCCTAATATTGCTCTGAGAGATGGCGGCTTAAGTATCTTGCACGATAAGCTATGGCTTCCGTCAACATGCGGTGAGTTTGGGCTCGTGGACAACAGGAGATACGAGACTGACTGGTGTGCAAAGGCTCGAGGCCGGAGCGATTCGGTACGATAACTGATAGTGGGCTTTCATCGCACTAAACTCTTTTGAACAGCGAGTTGCACTGGCACAAGACTTCGGAGGTCTGTTTTGATAAACTTCAAGGAGGGGAGAAAATAGATCACTGACTCACATCGGTTTTTAGTGGGCCTATGTCCTGAAAGTACGTCAGAGTCCGAATGTACTCGTTGTCACCGCCTTAACAGTCCCAGGGTTATACTCAGGTTACCGCCGTGGACACGGAAGGCCGCAACTTCCTTGCCACTGTCGTAAGCCAGCCTCTTGAGCGTGGAAGGGAATAGAATTGATTATGATGCAGGGCCCAGGTGACCTCTGGTTTTTCCCACCCGGTATCCCGCACAGTCTTCAAGCGACTAATCAGAGCGCCGAAGGATCGGAGTTTATTTTGGTTCGTTTTACGCTCCGTGATCTGAGGACTCGATGAATGGTGTGCGCGCAGATCTTTGACGACGGTGCTTTTAGCGAAGACGCAACTTTTTTGGTACGTTCTATTTTCGTTCAACTCTTCCTCTCCCTCCCATGGATATTGGCTCACGCGCTCCGAAGTTGACCGACTGGCTTGCTCATGTTCCCGCCGAAGGTGCGCAGCCCTCTAAGCGCAAGCGAGAACTGCAACTGATGACGCTTCAAATCTAAAAAAAACCAGTCATCCAGAAGAACTTCCAAGCGAATCCTGAAGCCTTCTCGCACATCCCCGCGAATGAGCTGTACATCTTCCCCGGCAGTGAGTGGTCGATCACATCGCATCTTATCACGTCGTATCACAATGTGATGTATCTCACTCTGCTGCACAGCCCCGCCGTCTCCGGATGCGGTCGCGCCTTCGAGCCCCCAAGGGACTGTTCCTGCTGAATTTTCTTACGCGTTCCCCCTGTCGACGATGAACGCGACCCAAGTCGCCGGTGGCACCGTCAAGATCGTTGACTCGACCTCGTTCCAGGTCAGTCACCCTTGGTGGCCCGGCGGGTTTAAAGTTCCGCATCTGACCACCCGCACCAGATCGCGACCACGATTGCTGCGGCTGAGGTGACTGTTGAGCCAGGTGCTATTCGGGAGCTCCACGTGAGTCTGACTGACTTATTTTCGTTCACGTGCTGACAGCCGCGCAGTGGCACCCGACTATGGACGAATGGAGCTTCTTCATGTTCGTACACACATACTGCGCTCTGCCCCGGCCCAAAACTCAAACCTTCGCATATTGACAGCGAAGGCACAGCGAGAGTGACCATCTTCGCTTCGCAAGGTAATGCTCGGACGTTTAACTACCAGGTATGATCCATGAAATCTATCCTTACGGCTGTTAACCTTGGAGGTTACTCGTGCAGCCTGGTGATATCGGTGCGAGTTTTCCTATCGTACCTAATGCTGGAGCTAAAATTGATTTCCAGGTTTCGTGCCGGCTGCCATGGGTCTGTATTATTTTTAAAGTCGACCGTCGGTCCAAGATATTAATGGCGCATCCGCAGGTCATTACGTGGAGAACACTGGAAACACGTCGGAATATTCTCTGCTCGCTACCGAAGGCGTCTAAAATATCTTTTCAGGACCGTAAAATACCTCGAGATCTTCAACACCGGTGTGTATCTGATTAGAAACTTGTCAGCAGATCCGCTCATGTGTCTTCCCTGCAGATAAATATCAAGACATCAGTTTAAACCAGGTACTTGCGCCGAATTTGAATTTAAACCGGGCTTAATCACCTGCTCAGTGGCTCGCGCTCACTCCTCCCGAGTTGGTTAAAGCGCATCTCCAGCTCTCTGATGTAAGTCGACCCCCCGTTATGGCAATCTCATCTCATCTGATCTATGCCCCGAATAGGAAACCATCTCGAGCTTGAAGAAGGTCAAGCCTGTTGTCATCTAATTTCGTAGGAACGGGTGCACGTTGCGCACGCATAATCACTCTTCTCTGTATCTGATCTTATGACTTAATTTTACTTGAATGTTATGATCGAACTGTTGATGACAAGAGTGACCGTGACACGAATTTCCTCGCAACCGTTCGGTTGGATGAGCAAGCACCACGAGGTCGACGCCAATGAAGCCGACGATCCCGCGAGCCGGAAGAATTGCCTCACACTGTCCGACTCCTGCCGACTCCGTTGATGCTGGAATCCCTCGCCGCACTGGACCCAGGCATCGAGTCTTCTGCTCCACGGACTCGCTGTCCCTCGGAGAGTTGGCATTGCTCGACTCGTCGGTGTTCCATAAATGGAATCGTTCGTGCGGCTTTAGACCCGCGCTTATGCTTAGTCTCGTCTCAACCCCTTTCTAGCGTCCCATAAGTCTTGCCCGGGTCCACACACTCGGGCTGGTGCCCACTTTACTTTCTTGCGCTCGCTCTTTCTGCTTTACTGTCTCACGTATGCCTGATAGCGAAAGCTTTCCTCCTATGGATTTCGCTGAGGATGCGATGGAGCGCGCTGCGGCCGAGCGCCACTTGGTCCGAAAGCTCGATCTGCGGTTGCTTCCGACTGTGTTTATCCTGTTCATTTTGAACTTCATCGACGTGCGTTATGCAGCAGCGGCAACTGCAGCGGCATGGTCCCTCGGATCTCAGACACGGTGCTGATCTTGCCAGCGCACAAGCATCACCACGGCTCGGCTGAAGGGCATCCAGGTGGATCTGCACCTCTCAGGTCAAGCTCTCGCATGCTAGCTAGCTTCTTCTTCCGGTCTCCGGATCTGATTCGGTGTTCGATCAAAAGACTTTCAGTACGATTTTGTGCTTGCAATCTTCTATGCGACGTACGCCCCGGCTCAAGTCCCCTCAAATATGGTGCGTGACGCACGATCTCGTTTCGTCTCCGCCAGGCCTAACTGGGATAAGATTCTGAACAAGATTGCGAGGTTCTTCTCGTCCCCGTGGCACTCCCTGCTCACGCGATACCCGACTAATTAGAATCCAGGCCGTCCATTTACATCAGCCTTTGCACTATGGCTTGGGGCCTTGCCAGTGCTGTAACAGGAGTATGTTCATGTTTCTACCTTGTGTCCCCAGTCTCATCCCAGGGAAGCGGACGCAGAGCTTGAGTGGGATGATCGCTTGTAGGCTTTTTCTAGGCATTCCAGAAGCACGCCGTTTCTCCATTTTTCTTTCTTTCCGAATGACGCAGTCGTTTCGACAGGCTGCATTTTATCCAGGAAGTATGTATCCGAGTGGCATCAAGCTCGACTGCCTCTAAATATCATAAATATTATTTATAGCCGTCTACTTGCTGTCATGCTGGTACACGAAAAAAGAACTCGCACTGCGATCAGCCATTCTCTATCTCGGGATAATTTTGGCCAATGGGTTCGGCTCTGTGAGTTACTTACCTACGTATACGTTCGGTTTCACACCATGGTAACATTGAAAACAGTTCATATCTGCGGGCATATTCTCGGGGATGGAGGGAGTACGAGGGATACGAGCTTGGCGTTGGTCAGTCAACTCACACTTATCAAATTTTTAACGTGCAGAAACGGGAGCTTTTAAGGTTATTTTACATCGAGGCACGTTCTCCTTCAATACTTTCCGGAGAACTCAGGCTCGACAGATATTGATGTGTCCTATCCAGGGATCCGTCACTATCCTATTCGGGATTCTGATGATGTGAGTAGGTCCAATTGTACAATTTGCGTGGCTAATGCACGCATACTAACATCATAGGTTCATTCTCCCCGATTTTGTAAGACTTGATATCAATTCACGGGATTTTTATCGATTTTCTTGATTCCAGCCCCGGAACACTCGTTGGTTGAGCTTAACGGAGAGAAAACTCGCACAGGCGCGGATCACGGAAGATGCCGGGGAGTTGGACGCAGATAGAGACACAGACACGTGCCAAGCTACTTCGGAATCTGTGACCTCCAACGACTGAACGCTCGTGCAGGCCGTTGCGTGGCCTGAAACTGGCCGTCCAGGACTCCCTGGTGTGGCTCTTTTCCTTTTTCGGTTTTTGTAATCTCCTGGGCCAGAGCTTCGGCGCTTTCTTCCCAACGTCAGTGCCAATACTTTTTTACTATGCAGCTTCCTGCGCAGCTGAGCTTTGTGTAATGCTCGGAAGCATCACCGCAACGCTAGGGTTCAATGTCACAAACACACTACTGCTCGCTGCGTGAGTGAGCGCGTGCTGTATGTCTCGCGTTTCCTCGCCCACGCTGTTAACTAGCGCTCCCTGGATCGTGGCAGCGTGTTTGGCGTGCGCCAATGCCTGGCATGCAGGTCGGGAGCTTTTGCAACCCAAACTATGCGCTTACTGATATATCTGATACGCTCTATCTTCGCAGACCGATCGGGCGAGAGGTTCCTACACATCACGGTCTGGTGGATGTCGTCCATCGTAGGCATGATCATCTGCCTATCTACGCATGCGACGGCAGCGCGCTATTTTGCGCTATTCCTGATGGCTTCCGCATACGCTGGTTGGCACGATTCTGCGCTTGTGAAGGCAGTCCAAAGGCTGATCGCGGATCGCAAACAGGAAGTGCTTTGGTCCTCACCTGGACAGTGAACGTCGTCGCTCGACCGCCCGCGTGCATACCCTATCTCAAATCATCTGGAGACGGACTGGAATTGATGACAATTGCAGGAAACGTGCTGCAGCCGTAGGAATCGTCAGCGCGACTAACAACCTGGGAAATTGGTGTGTGCTCTGCACCTGACTCAGAGAGATTACTGCATATAAGGTAGCCGCGATCCATCCTCGACAAGCATCACGTGGTGCAGTGTGACTTTGCCCCAATTAAGAAAGCCGTGGGAACATCCAAAAGAGCAGGCGGTAGAATACTTTTGGATCATAATTAAGTCAAACCCCGCGAGGAAAAGGACAAAATATACCATTACTTGTCCCAATTTCAGTCCCAAGAAAATCCGATCAGATTTGCCAAGCCAGTGTCGAAAACAATACTTGGCTTCCCATATCCATCGTCCGCATGCCGCTAGGCTCAAAATTGAGGCGCCGCAGGACCGCTCACTTGTTCAAGAACCTTGGCAAACGAGATTATGAGCAAGTTAGCCCCAAGAAGTCACGCAAACAACGCTCACCAAGGAAGAGATTTAAGGAGAATGTCCCAGTGCGTATACTGCTGTACTCTGGTTTTGGCTGCTACTGAGACTGAACAGGAGCGCGAAGAGAGCAAAGAGGAGGATTTCGACACGTCTTCCGTCAATAGTGACGCGTTTACTGACCCATTTCACGTGTCCGACGCGACCAGTGATCAAGACCGCGTATCAGACATCGACGTGTTTCCTTCATCAGACGCGTCAATCGGCCCATTTCTTGTGGAGTTCCGAGTCGAAGGCGTGACAGAATGGCCGACTACCTCCGAAACGCGTAAATCCGTTTGGAAACTTCCCGAGCCGCCGAAACCACGCCCGTGCCCTAAGTCTACTGCGGAGGAAATTGACGATGAAGACATTCTGCTGCCGCGCCAACGTGCATCTAGTCACCTGCATCAGGCTCCGAATCTTGGAGAGGCAGAGATGGCTTTGGACGCTGCATCAAACTATCTCCGTGGGGAGCTCCGTGGTACTGATCTCTTTGGACGGAACGGGCTGGGATACAAGAAGCGAGAGATCAGTGACTTCACTCGGAATCGGTTGACAGGAATCCAGTCCATGTTGAGCTTCTACACGCGGCCAGAGTTGACTGATACATATGGCCGATGGGGAGCATCTGCACGCTTTGCTTCCGCGGGACTGAACCGGGGAGCGCACTGCAGCCGAGTACTTGCTGCTCTGGCGCGTCAATACATTCTGAATCAGAAAGTATTGGATGTCAATCCCTATGGAGACTGGACTGAAAGCATGTTGGCAGACGAGGATTTGGCCAATGATATGCGGCTGTACCTACAGTCGCTCGGGAAGGACATTACTGCGGAGAAACTCCGAGCGTGGTTGAACGATCCACTTGTTCAATCAGAACATGATATCAACAAGTCAGTTAGCTTGACTACCGCGCGAGAATACCTCAATGAACTGGGATACAGGTCGGTTTCCTCGTTCACTATTGTGTTTCTGATTCATTTGATCCTTGCAGGTATACGGAACCAAAGAAAGGACAATATGTGGACGGCCACGAGCGTGCCGACGTTGTCTACTACCGGGACTATGTTTACCTCCCCCGGCTTTTTGACTTGCAGAAGCGTGTGCTGGTCTTTGATAATGATGGGAACCCGGTGGTCAATCACACCACATGGCCGGGTCGACGTGTCATCATTTGGTACCACGACGAAAGCATATTCTATGCCCACGATCGGAAACACAGGGCCTGGTACCACAAGGACTCACCTGCTAAGCCGTACCGGAAAGGAGAAGGCTGTTCCTTCATGGTTGCGGACTACTTCTCGCCTGACTTTGGCTGGCTATGTGATCCAGCAGACAAATCTCGGAACGCTCGGCGGTGTATGCACCCTGGGAAGAATCGTGATGGATACTTCACGTCCGACGAGGTTCTTGAGCAAGCATCAGCCGCTTGTGACCTCGTGGACAAGGTCTGGCCAGACTACAATCACGTCTTTGTGTACGACAATGCCACCACACACAAGAAGCGGCCTGAGGGATCTCTCTCTGCGCGCAATATGCCAAAAGGACCATCGGGCACACGAAGTGGCAAGGAAGATGCCAACTTCCTGGTCGAAGTAAATAAGCGGGACGAAACTGGAAAGCCTGTTTACGATGCTCGTGGCAATCTTGTGAAGCAGCGCATCAAGATGACAGGTGCGCACTTTGACGGGCGTGCACAAGATCTCTACTTTCCGGATGATCACCCGAAGCATCCAGGCAAGTTTAAAGGGATGAAGAAGATTCTGCAGGAGCGTGGGATGCATGCAGAGGCAGCTTTGCTGTTGCAATGCGAAGGGTTCAAGTGCGTGGATCAGAGTGACACATCAAAATGTTGCTGTCGTCGCGTCATCTATAACCTGCCCGACTTCGCATCGGTGAAGACAATTTTAGAGATGGAATGTGAGAAGAAGGGTGTCGAGGTCTTATTCTTGCCGAAGTTCCACTGCGAACTCAATCCAATCGAGATGATCTGGGGCTATGCGAAGCGGCTTTACAGATCAAAACCTGAATCCTCGCGTGAAGATCAGCTAGAGAAGAACACAATGGAAGCTCTGGATGATGTTCCACTTCTTTTTATGCGACGGTAAGCTTTGTCTTCCTCTTGATGCAAGTGATCAATGATCGATCTCAAATGCCAGGTTTGCAAACCGATGTCATCGCTTCGGTGATGCGTACTTAAACCACAAGTTGACAGGACCTCAGATTGCTTGGGCCTCGAAGAAATACTCAGGCCACAGGACCTTCCCAGCGTCGATTTTGGCCGAACTTGACAAAGCAGGAATCCACTAATACATTGCGTGCGACACAGCTCTACCCAAGATGACCGCAGTGCTCTAATTTTTTTGCTACATAATTTTTGATTGTATATGCACATTCTCCTCGCAGGGATTAGTCTAGTATAGCTCCGTTGTCTTAATACAGCTTGATTTTCTTGCGATCAATTATGTCTGACGAAAGCGGACGTGTGACCATAACACCACGTGATGTTTGTCGAGGATGGATCGCGGCTACCTTAGTATGCTTATGCCATCCTGGAATGTTGTGCAGTCTCGGCGCCTTTGTCTGGAAAAAGACGTGGGGACCAGAGTACCGACCCGCGATGAGCATCTGCGTTGCTGCGTTCTCGGTTGCTATCATTTCTGCCCTGGGTACGCTCGCCCCTTGCGTCGTGGACGTCACCAATGCTGATAGCATGTTTGTCCCTGCAGCGGCCCGGTGCATCATCAAGCGGATGAATGATAGTCTAACGGAAGGAGCTGTCGCTTCGGGTGGTCCAGAACGCAAACGTTTATATTGAGCGATCAGGAGGTCTAGCAATCTACATGCCTACTACAGAATAGATAAGGTACTACTGGTACTCTACATTGATGATGGTACACACATACTCGAGTATATATACAACAAAGGATTGTCATAGCACGAGTGGTGGCGGTATCAGGCGATCCGCTGCAAGACTTGTATATGGAATTGGTGCCAATCAATGAACGCAAGAGCGTCAGCGTCGACATATCGCCACTCGACATCATCGGCGGCCTGGCTGTCCAGCTCTTCCTCCAGCCAGTGCTCGAGCTCGAGGCAAACAGGTGTCGACGGGACGAGGCAGTCTTCGTCCTGCTGAAAGTCGTACTTTTCGGGTGCGACGTAGTAGAAGGACGAGGTCCGCGAGAGAGATGGGAGCAGAGGCAGGAACGCCGGGGGATTGCTGTACACAGATGCGCGCTTAGCCGAGTGACGCCTTGAGATGATCGGGGATTGGGGCCGAGATTCATTGATAAGGAAACTAGAGGCGGCGGGGGAGGGGGAGGAGGGCAGTGAGGAAGGGAGCGCACTATGGAGGACAAAAGTCAGCACATGGATAGATAGTGTGGAATTGAAGGCACGCACTGCAGTGACTGCGCTTCGGCAGCTTTACCCGCAGCCCTGACGCGTTCCAAAAAGCGCGCAGGAATGCCAATAATGGAGGACCGTCGACGCGTCGCCCGCGTCTCTGAGCTCGCAGTCGCGGCAGGGACCGCACTCGCCGCGGAAGCCCGACGCGAGATCGGCGTGAATGACAGGGAGTGGGAGCGGCTTGGACGACGCGTGAGACTTTGTCCCAGGGAGAGCGACTTGAAGGACGCCACGGGTGACAAAGATGGGGAGGACGTCTGGGATGCAGAGACCAGGACGCTGCCCCGTCGGCTGCGCCCCATTGCGCGCAGCCCGCTGGCGAAAAACTCGGAATAGAACCACATATTGCGTGTGGTGACCGCGCTCGGTGGGGCAGGAGATAGGACCATCGCGGAATCGTTGAGCAGACTGTGTTCAGCTATATCTGGACCGGGCCGGGGGATGGGGGCGCGGCGTTCTTCAAGGTCCGCGATGTTTAGGGATGAAAGGTTCCGTTGACGGTTTCATGAGGGGCTCTTGTTAAAAGCTACTCCAAACCCGCCCCCTGTGCTCAAGGGACCGAGGTGGATGCCTCTTCGAGCGAGGTGCCGCAGTGCGGAGAAACGGCCATGAGGGGGGAAGCATATGATACTAGGAGGAAAAACCAGCTCGTCATCATGAGGATTACAAACATCCGCCTGCAGGCTTACTTACATACCTTCGCGCGATCGGATTCGATGTGTCGTGCCGCACGCCAGATTGGGGCCCGACGTGAGACAAAATTCATCGGTTGGGACTGTCAAAGAAAGATTTGGGGCCGAGGAGGATTCTGAGCGAGTCCAGACCCAATTTGAGAGCGAATTCGTTTAGCGCGCTGTCTCCGACGCGTCGGGGCTGGGCCATGGTCAGGGGAGAGGAAAGCAGCAGCTCGCCACGGCTGCCTCGGGCCAAAACAGGGTAAACGTGGTGGAGGAGGGTTATCAGCCTGCATCAATCGATATCATGATGGCTGACTACATTTCTCAAGGTAAGTAGCTGAAACACATGTAAGTGCAACCGTGTCAACGTTTGGGCAGTTGAAGAGATCTGCACGGTTCAGTCAGCACTATTATCTAGGCCAGATTACCTACAGTGTGATTCTGTGCATCTCGTATGATGGATTGGACGCAGCACGACCCTCTAGGGAGCGGAGGCGGGTGGAAACACTGATATCGAATCACTAACCCTGAAGATCTCAGTCGTTTGGTGTGGTAAGATGCGTCTGGTTGGGATTTCGGAATCAATTTTACCGTGAAATCGGCCGGTGTCAGTCAATTCCTCGAGTTCTTGAGAGACCCCGCACAAAAGTTGTTGCATGTCGTAAAGTTTGAAGAGGGCTGAGCCAATTGAGAGTGTATTTACGCAAAATGAGCGCAGCGATCCGCCACCGCTTAAGACACATGGGCATGTGGACAACGGAACAATCAGTATCACGACTGACAGTCGGTATACTCGCCTGAAGCGACTGTGTATGTGTCCGGCAAACATCGGTGTCCATGGGTACACCATGGGTCCATGTGCTTCCGTGGGACTTTTTCCCACCGCCACCATGACATACGCCCTTCGAAGCACTGCCAGTAGCTCCTGCTGGAACACCCTGTTCCGCTCTTGTGCTCGCCGCTCCCTTTTTTCCACCAGTATACATCTCAAGGATGCCCCCACGCCTGTCCCCCCTCACATGGTTGTCAGCCTGTCAACGCTCGCAGATCTGGATGGAATCCCTCGCAGAAAGCTTCACATTGGCAACCTTCCACACGGGTTCGAACAGGGGCGTCTCGAGGAGCTCTTGAAGCGCAAGATCGGTCGCACGGACCACTTTCTTCGTCGTAAGGCAGCACCCTTCTCTATTGTATGACTGGTTCTGAATCCTTGACTCCAGTCGAGAGCGAACCTCGAGGAACAACTGAAGCAGCGATCGTCCGCATGACCGATATCGTGCACGCGCGTAAAGCCGTGGAAAAGAACTTGAAACTGCACTTCGAGGACCGACCGCTCAGCATCTCGTTTTCCAAGCTCCCGTCCAACGACACGCCGCTCGCATCACGGGTGCTCCTCTCGCCTCTCCCGGGGACCACCACCGATCACGACTTGTGGGCGTTCTGTGCAACTCAGACTGCTCTCCGGGGGATCAACCTGCGCGACATACGCATCAGGCAGAGTGTGCGCGACACGTCCCGGTACATCGGCGTGCTGTTCTTCGCTTCTATCGAGGATGCTGTGAGGGCGTATGTGCGCATGATGGACGAGCCGCTGCAGCTGGGCGGCCAGGAGCTGCGGGCCCATTTTCACTATACGCACGGTGCGGACGAACGGCCAGTACGGGAGATGTTGGACCCCACGCGCTCGTTGTACTTCTATCACTATCACGGTACTCGGAAGGCCCTCGAGCACAAATTGAAGAAGTGGGCCAATGGGCGGGTCCATTACAATCTCACGTTTAGTATGTGTTCTCTGCGGTGTCCCGGTGCGGCAAAGCTCCGAATGGCTGACGTACGTCCTCAGTGAAAGCACCCGAAACAGGGACTGACAACGGATCTGGCTTCATCCAATTCTTCACCGTCAATCAAGCTACAAAGGCCTTGCAGCAGCTCCGAGGCACGATTGTTGATGGACAAGTACTCAAAGTGCATTACGCCAATAATGCAAACAGAACTCGCCCATAGTCCGGATGATGGATCGCTGACGGTCCTGATAGAGGCCAACACTACTACCAATACTATGTACTACTACTACTACTACTACTACTACTACTACTACTAATGCAATGTACAGTATATGTATATACCACACCGCGTATGACTATCGAACACCTGATTTCCGTGGTTTCCTGAACCGAAATGCAAAAACGGTGGGAGGCGGGACGACCCGATCGGTCGCTGCCAACTGCTTGAGCTGCAGGAACTTGGGCTGGGGAGGAGACGTCACGCGCCCAAGCCTCGATTTGAGTGCAGTGACTTGTCGCTCGAGCGCTTCGATCCTCGCACGCAGGATCTCGTTCTCTCCTTCTAAAACAGCCGAACCCACCCCCGCTTGCACTCCCATCTCTTTGTAAACTGGCCTCGGTGTTTCCTTGACGCGACGCTTCAGCACTACTGGTGCTTTTACTTGGGTCCGGAATGACGACTCGGAAAACAACCGGTCGCGAAAGTACGGCCGGGGACTGGAGCCTGGGCTCTGGAGGTCGATCGGTGAGAAGAGCGGAGACATCTCGGAGAGATCCTCTTCCAGAGTTGTCGGCGAAATGGGTATGTCCAGATGCAGCTGGGGTGGCAGTACCGCTCGCTTGAACAGCTCGAGGCGATCGGTTTTTGGGACGTCGGAGAACTGCAGCAAATCGTAGTCCGGACTGGAGTCTGCCACGGGTGTATCGGCACAGGTGGCGAAAGCGTCTGAGGTGATGTGCTTCTGGGATGGAGCCTCAGAAACGGGGTCGCTGTGCTCCGCACTAATGCTGTGGCTGACTGCTGGGATATGGTTCGGAGACGATGGAAGGGGGACAAGCTCTGGATCGACGATGGCACCAGCATCAGCAGTGCCCAAGGCTGATACTGGCACACAGCCCGCCTGCATCGAGCCGAAGGCACCGGAAACACTCAATGTTTGCGGGAGGGTGTCAGGTCCATGGAGGGGAGCAGGCGCTTGTGCATAAACTGGGTCACCATGCGTTTCGACCGGGTGTAGAGGCGCTGCAGGCGGTGGGGAAGGGGGAAGGGGAATAGAATCAAGGGAAATGGGTGGCGAAACGCGAACGGGAGACCCTGCAGTTCCCCTGACATGAGCGATCGTAATATCAAGATGTGAGGTCGCGGAGTGAAGCGTTACGTGCTCTGGGGCAATGGACAAGTCGGTGGTAGTACCACGGTCCTCCACCGTGCGCTTATCTTCATCCCCGTCCTCCTCCTCCTCCTCCTCCTCCGCATCTGGCAGCGACTCGGCATATGCTTCCGCAGGTAAGACACCCTTTTGCACCTTCATCATCTCGGCCTTCATCGTTTCATCGCCTTCGGCGAGCCTAAATCCAAGATGGGTTAACATCCATCAGCTTTCTAGGAAGAAGCTAGAGCTCACGCTTCCAGCACGAGTGGGCCCAGGCCTTTGAACGCGGCACCAGAAACATTGAGGACACGTGTGTAATTGGCCGTTTTGTGTGCTAGCGGATGAGGGATCCGCGTTAGGATCTCAGACAGAGCAATTGGTGAAAGTGTCGTTATCTGAGTTGCGTGAGACAGTAGATCGATGTTGTGAGGAGTTGGGTACTGACTGGAGTGATAGGTGTAGTCGGTGTGGAGGGCACAGATGACGAGGCTGGGCTTGAGCTTAGTAGCAGAGGGGTTTCGGCATCCCATGGAGAAATAGCGGGGGAATCATCTTGGAAACCTCACTGTCAGACGGGTGGAAAGACAGGCCAAGGTGGGCACGAACCGAAGTCGGTTGCAGTTCCCTCGAGGTCAGAGTCGAGTTCGAGGTTACCCCCGGGAATCAAGAATCGCACGCTTCGTTTGGAGCTCGAAGCGGACATGTGGTTTTACTTGGCGGGGCGCAGTCGAGTGTGGATCGGGTATTGTTGATGCGTGCCGCAGCTGGAGTGGAGGTGGGATGTGGGAGAGAAGCGTGGGGGCAACCTGCGCTTCATATCTCATACAGAGAAAGCATGCAGCCCCCACGTGCGGTGGATACATGCAGTGCCTCGCCGGGGACAAGGTGTGAGACTGCTATATATATCGAATGGAGCGCAAGTTTGCGGCATGCGCAAATGTCTCTCACCATCGTGAGCTAAAGTGAGCGAGAGCAGAAGGCTTTTCTCCAGCAGTTGAAGCAAGATCTCGGAGAATAGAAAGAGACTGGTGACGAGCGAGCAATTCTAAGTAGACGATGATCGTAGAATGGGGTTGACTGTTAAGGGCAATTTCCTGATTTGGCTAGATGACATCGTGACGCGTGCATAGATGTAAACAACGCGGTCCACGCGCGCTACTGTGATGTCAATCGATCTCTGGGCTGTGCCAGAAGTTGCAATTGCCTATTGCAGTCATACCCATAGAATCTGAGACTGGTTTGGATTTGTCTTGTGTCTCCTTCTTATGCTTCGGTCCTTAGTTCGGTGCACAAGCCTCACCGGAGTAACGACGACTGTCTGTATTGTGATCACATCTTCCGACGATCAGGACCCACCAAACATAACACAGCGAGAGCTGATTTCATGCGGTCGATGCTTTGACTGATTGTTGACTATTGAGAAAGATGTACCTGAGGCCATTCATCCATCAAGTAATCACCTGAAAGCGCATGTTGTCTGACCGGCTTGGGTCGGACTCACACCTCAGTTTAGAACAGGATTTAACAGCTACGGCATCTTTCTTGCAAATGGCATCATCCAGCGTCAGCCCTGTCGCTCGTTGAGCGATATGCCGCGATTGAGGCCGATGATGATTACAGACCCAAGCTTTCTCTCAAGGCTTATTGAGCACGATATGCAAAGGCAGATGTTTAAATCAAGTCAGCAGAGTCAAGACAGGTATCTGGACTCAAGTGTGCGTGGGACTGAGTGGGCCGAAATACTCGTCATCAACCTTCCGCTACTGTTGCTGGTTGTCAGTGCGGCATTCTCGCCCGCACTGTGTGATCTCGATGTCCTCCGCGGGCGCCCGTTCTTCGGCATCGCAGGGTCCTCCACTGGCGCTCAGAATATCGCCGCGGCGCTGTGGCATATAGCCAGGAAGTTCTTGTAAGCCAAGTGCAATCTATTCCTTGAGCCCCCGAGAAGAGCGAAGGAAGCAAGCGATGCTGACCTCAAGGATACGCGAGCAGATGAAAGCAAATTGGAGGTCGAAGATGTTCCGGCCTATGCGGGAAAGGTATCCTGGAGCGAGGCAGCTGCATCGTTTCTCTGTCGTAAGTAGACGGATGCACTGCGGTTGAGTATGCGAGATCCGCAAGCAGCTGTTCACCGGATAGTTTGGTCCAGCCGCAGGAAATATAGTGTTGGTCTCAATGCGCGATACCCAACACTTGCTCAACTCAAGAGGATGAAAAAGGACGAGGTCCGCGGTAGGGAGAAGGAAAGGAAAATTGCACAGCCACGCACTTGCCTTGCCGCCTTACCTTCAGGATCTTCGTTTTTTCATACATACGTCCAACCAGGCGCCGCTCACCGCACTGTAAATCCGGTATTTTAGAAACTAGCTCTTCTATTGCATGAAATATTTCCAGACACGATATACGAATCCGAATGCTAACTGAGCATGCCCGATCTTACACCCACACAACTTGACCCCAGATTCCAGAGGCAGCGGGCAAAACTCAGGCCCTCGGGGCCCCTCCTTCTCCTTCTATGTGCAGCACTCTCTTTTAAGCACTGACCGCCTTCACTGTCATTGACCTAAGCTGGGGAACTAGCACGGTGTCTCTCGTCTCTGGATCGTCATGACCCCACCCTCGTCTTCCTCGGTTGCAACCAGTGGTGCTCGAGCCACTCGCATCTCGAACTCGGTCTCTTTCTTTCCTCAAAGGTCTTCCCCAGCATCCTGGCTACCTGTGCATAAACGACGATCGTCAATCATTGCTCTGCCAGCTCGACTACTCGAGCGCATCTCACCTCTTGCCCCGGCGAGCCGGGCCCGCGTTGTTGTTTTTGTGCAGTATGTTTCCCATTCCCGTGTCCCCATCCCTGATCCTGATGATATCCCATCCATGATCATCCGTATCTTTCACTTCACAGCGACCCATTCAATGCCTCACCAAACTCGACTTCATACTTTGCCTCCGAAGCCGAACCGCATTTTCACTCCAAACCGATCCATTCGCCAGCTGAGATCAGACGGCCCGCGGAGGCGCAGCAGCAGTCGATGCCGAGCCATCGCACCCGGGCTGTCTCGTTTGCGTCAGCGACTCCGAGTCCGCCCCCTCGGGCGCACAGCCGTCCATCCTTGCCGCCACCGCCGCGCTCGTGCACGGAGTCCGTCCACATGGCCGCCGGCCCGAATTTCTCTGTGCCCCGCACGGACGAGGATGAGCCGTGGGACGAGCCGTGGTTCATTCCCTCGTCTCACGACGAAGATGGCGAGGAGGATGGGAATGGTGTGGCTGCTATCGACTGGCGACAATTCCACATCAATCTTTTGCACCGTTTGAAGTGAGGTCTCAAAAGGGTTTCGAGAATTGAACTAAAATATAAGATGCCGACCGCACTTGCTTGTTTGTTATTAATGACCGCGTAGGTTGTAGATGCTTTCGATATGACTCTTATTCTACTGTTACTGCCATAAAGTTACGCAATTGAGCAATACTTGGATTCTTTGCAACTGGTTCTATCCAGAACCTTACAATCATGTGCCGTAAGACGATCGGTCGCCTGCTTGTGCTTGTGTGCCATGTCACAGCCACTAATTACGTTACTCCTTCCTTCTCCTGCCTTTTGCTGCTGCCCACTGGCGACTAGGGGATGTCGTTGTTGGCATCCTAACTGTATCGATTCCGAGACACGCCCCCCTGATTTATTCTATTCTATTCCTGGATCGACATCGGCGCAACCACTCCCAAACAATCTTTGTGCACCCTGCAGATATCCGCTCTATCACATCTAGCGACCGAGAGCCAAGACGGACGAACTTTTCCAAAGTCAAACACAAATTCAAATTCAAACTCTAGTGTGGAAGCTGCGATACGATTGCTACAATGGCTGCCCGGCCGGAACCGATGAACGCGACATCAACGCACGCGAAGCTGAAAGTGAGCACGACGCTCGCGCGGGAGAACGCAGCGCACGTCGCGGGGGGATATGTTACAGGCCGGCTAGAAGTGGACGCTCTCGCAGACAAGGATCTCGGTATCGGCGTCATCATGGTTGAGCTGGTTGGCGTGCAGGGTGCGTTTCTACCCGTCCGCATCCCGCTCCTCACCCAGAAAGCTAACAAGACAACGACACCCCCCGCAGAGCTCACCTCGCGCGACCACTCCGCGACATCGACGTTCCTCCACTCGCGGCGGCTCTTCCAGGGACCCGGCCTGCCGCCGTCGAACGCGGTGTATCCCACCCCCATTCCCGGTGCCACGCCGCTCCCGCCGGCATACCACCCCGCGCGCCGCGGGCGCAGCACGTTCTTGTTCCGGATTCCGCTCCCCCAGACGAGCCCCGCATCGCTCGTGTTCGGCGGGTCCCTCGCGCGCGTGCGGTACGAGCTGCGTGCGAGCGTGGGTGTCGTGTGGCGGGGCGAAAGGCGGGAGGTTGTGCAGCGGCGGGACGTGGATGTGGTAGAGCACTACAGCGAAGAGGAGGAGGGGCAAGCTGAGGGAGATGGTGAGGCGGTGGTGGTGGGTGAGAATGGAAAGATATGGGCCCAGGGCCGGGTTGTGGGTGGGGTTGTTGTAGCAGGGGAGAGCGCGTGCGTTGAGTTGCAAGTGAAGAACCATTCGAACAAGAAGGTTTGTGACATTTCTCTACCTGATCTATCGCTGGAAGTGACATTCTCTCCGCAGAACACAGGGCTCGTAGTGACGCTGACCCGATCGCTGGTGCTGCCGACGGGAGAGCCGGGTCTGCAGATCAGCGACACGTTAGTGACGGTGCCGTTTCGAACACAGGAGTACGTCATTCCACCTGGCGCAGAGGGTGTCGCCAGTCTCGTGTTTGACGTACCAGCGCATGCCCGTGGGGTGCGCGGTGGGGTCTTTCACGGCGACAAGGGCGGGAAGAGCACCGAGTCGATTTTCGTGGTGCAATGTGTAGTCGGCGTGCGGATCACGATGGGGCTCGGGAGGTATGTCTCAGTCTGAATCTTTATAACGTCACTGATGAAAGAGTAGCAAGGACTTGGAACTGAGCCTGCCTGTACGGGTTGTCCATCCTGCCGCCCTCCCCGAGATAGTTGCGCCACCCCCACTGCCACCACAACCCGTGTATTCGCCGCCAGGACACGCGCAGCCGTATGCTGCCGTGCCTCCTTACCCGATTCAATCCTACCTGCCTTATGGTGCACCGACACCGATGCCAATTTCGATGTCACCGGTACCGCCTCCCCAGCCATGGTACGACGTGCAACATGGCCAGGTGTGGTTCCCGCCTCCACCTGTGCAGCAGATGTACTATGCACCCACGCCACCACCGCGCCCGGCAAGTGCCGGAGACCGGCCCGCCGAGCCACCCGCCGCTGTTCCAGGCGACGAACGTGGAGAACGAGCGTCTCGGATCGCACAGCATCTGCGGCAATCGACGAGAAACCGTTCTGCGTCGCCGCTTTCGAGTAACCGGGCGGCGATGCCGATGAATCCGATCTCGCAGCCCATGTCCCTGTCGAATCACATCCCCCTCATGTCGGTGTCAAATCCTATGTCGAACCCGATGCCTCCACCTCCTATTTCGATACCACCACGAGCGAGTCTGCAGCTGGAGCCCGTGTCACCTCGGCCTTTGTTGAGCCCCAAAAACTCGTTTTCAGATGATCGGGAGTTCAAGAGTGTGCGCGTCGAGGCGCTGGAGCGGATGGCTGATGAGGTGGGGCGGACGGCGGTGGATTTGTCTGGTGATCTGCCCATCGAGAAGGACGTTGTGTTGTTGCCTAAAGAAGAAGTGAACATCAACAAGACGCTACCGGGACCTCCGGTCCCCAGCGGCAAGTTCATGCGCCCGGTGTTAACGGATGGGGAGCCGACTGAGAGTGGGCTCGATGCGCTGGAGCGGCGCCTGATGGCCGACGTTGGGACCCGTGTCAAGCCCGTTTCAGTGGAGCGGCCCGATGTGCGGGCCGTATTGGCGATGCCCTTGGACATCCCCAAGCGCGAGGAGCCCGAGGTTGACTCGGTAATATCCAGCCTCACACTCGCAGGCGAGGGCGCTGCCGAGCTTGAGCGGCGGGACGCGGAGACGGTCCGAGGGCCAGATTCCGGGGAGAACCGGAGCCGGAGCAAAGGCAAGAAGAAGACCAAAGCTGCGAAAGGACGTGTGACGGCGTGGCTGGGCGGGCTGGAAGCCGAGGAGGTCCTCGAGGATCCGCCGAGCCCCAGCCCGAAACTCGAAGAGACACCCGATCCACGCTCGTCAGGGTTCGTGTCTGTGCAGACCTTCCGCAGCCGGATCATAGGCTCCCGGCTGACCGCCACAGCGCGTAACCCCAATCCAGCAGACGAGGCGAAACGGGTCGCCGATCTTTGGCAGAACGAGTCGTTGCAACAGCCGTCCAAAGCAGAGCCGGCAACGCCCGTCATCGTGCCTGCGCCGTCGAATCCGTGGAAATCGAGCAGAGGCGCACTGAATGTCGATCCCGAAGTGAAGTACGACATTCGCTCGGCGCGTGGGGGGAGAGGCGGTCGGGTCACAGCAGCTAAGGAAATCTGGGCATCAGGTGCGGTGTTTGATAAGGCCGCCTCGGCTCAGCAGAAGCAGAAGCCTGCGATCCCGCCCCCGCCCACATCGAAGACGGCCGCCAAGCCGACGGCGCCGACACCGAAATCATCTTCCCCGGTGCCGCCAACAATCCCGAAAGTCATCTCCCCACGCTCACCGCTCGCCAAGCCGGGGGCAAGCGTGCCCGCGGTGTCTTCGTCGTACGCGCGCCCGACGATCAGCAGCACTGCATCCCTGGCGCGTCCCGTTGTTGCTGCGGCAGGCAGCGGTGATCCGGCCTGGAAGCGCGTTGGGCGGGGTGTCGCCGCTGGGCCGGTCAAGATGCCGGACGAGGCGACCACGAGCAAGAAGCCGGAGTTGGCGTTTGGGCAGGCGCGTCTGAGAGATTTGATCAGCAAGTATCAGACGCAGGCGGGGTGAGGTCCTGTAACTGTAATATAAGGTAATGACGGCGGCGGCTGGTGTATTCGCCGCGCTGCCACTAACGAATACTCACGACGCATTGCATTTCATGTCCACGATTTCTCCAGTATCTACATACTACTTATCTTGCTCCGTATCTTTATCGACACTCGGTGTTTCCGCATTATACATACATAGTTACTACCAATAGCACATGCCAGCATGAATTTTCAATAAGCTGCAGAGTACGGTACAGTAAGGCAGTGGCAGGCAAGGCAGCCTGCACTGTTGTACTTATAACGAAATAAGAGATGTCTCATGTGGAGGTGCATCTGCTCAAAAGAAAGGGTAAGCTATCTTGAGCAAGAAAGTTTGGATACGGGGAATCAAACCCTGGGCTATTTGCATCCAAACACTGTTACCCTGCACTAATGAGAGGCAATAATGTTAACCCAAAATTCCTATCAATTTTGAGATGGCTTGTGCTCATTTTGTACTTTCTCCCCTACTGCTTTGGCCTTCTCCCTACAAGTGTGGTCTGCTGCTTAGCTGCTGTGTAGGCTTATGATGCCTTTTGGCTCATTGGTACCACCCCTTTTCCCAGTTGGACATTGGTGCTTGCCTCTGATGTCTTCATTGGCTGGCCTGGCACCAGTTCTTGTGCCTGGCCACTGGGCTCCTCCAGAATTGATGGCACCTCTATTGTCTGAACAGAGAGGCACAATGGGTCATGTGCATGGTCATGGGCCCAAGGAGCACAACATCCCCAACACTTCCTACAGCTTTCCAGTTTGTCTGATCAATGCTATCTATTATGATTCATTACTCTACCTTTCACCATCACTCCATTTCTTCCCCACTCTCATTTGTGCCTACACCAGCACTGGCAATGCACCATCCCAATCTCACCTGGGGAAGTCCCTGCAAGTTGAAGATGTCCCAGCCAACTTTATATAAATTGAAACACTGACACACTGCACTACTAAAGCAGATACTACACTTGATTTCATACTGTAAAAACATATTCTAAGCCTGCTTCAAGCATCTGCAGATTGCAACCCGTCAGACAAGTTCCACCAGACAAGGAATCACGCACAGTAGCTGGTACCCACGAGCATGGTGGACAGATTCTGAAGATACTCCTCGCCGAACGACAGCTGGTCTTTGTGCCATGTATCCTGGTGCGTCTGCGCGATCCAGTAAGCTAAGGATTCATGCCAAGCACACCCGCGCACCTTCTTGAACTCCGACGCACACTTTCTGATGGTCGTCGAGATCGGCGGCGGATCCGTCGCATGCGCCGCCAGCACTGGGACAGCCGACGCAACGAAAGTCAGCCAAAGGGAACCACGCGCGGACTCTTCGCGACGCACCGTCGGTCAGGGGCGGCATCCACGGCTCCACGGTGTATGGGAAACTCTCAATCAGCGCACAGAGGCCCAGGATCGCCGAATGCAGCGACCGCAGCGCATTGGCGTATTCCGCATCACGTCTCGCCGGAAGCACTGTTTTCCGCGCTAGATTGAGGAAACGGTTCTGCGGGACGTGTTTAGTCATGCGTAAGGCACGGCGGGTGCAGTGCAGACAAGACAGACCTTGAGCGGCACGATACTGGCCCGCTGTGAGCAGCGCACAACGCCTGAGAGCACGTTGGACGCCATCTGTCGGACCTCGACGTTCTCGTCCGACAGACACAACAGCAGCACGTCCATCACCTCGGATACGCCCTCCGTGGAAATGGTCATCAGGTTTCGGTAGAAGAAGATCACCAGAGTCGGGAGCGCCAAGAGTCGTATCCGCCAGGACTGGCGGCTTGTCAGCATAAAAGTGGCGAGCGGTAGGATGCATTGCATACCGTCGAAGATTTGATGGCAGTGATAAAGTTCTAAACAGTTCGTTCAGCAGCCAAATACCAGAGGCACACACACAGCAACTCACGCCCAAGATTTCGGGCACATAGAGCGGTGGCGCCGGTGCCGCAGACACCACATACAGCACTCCCGTGCTATACAGCTGCAACTCCGAGCTGTCATTCAGCTCCGACATGCGCAGGATCTCGGGCCTGGGGCGAGCAAATCAGCGGAGGTCGCGCAAGTGAATCTTTGCAGCCCACATCATGTCCACCATGTGCGGGAATATCAGCGCAGGATACGTCCCAAACGACGAGATCCAAACCAGACTCAGGACTGGTGGATGCGATCAGTAGAATAGAAATGAGTAGCAAGGGATACACACAAGTCAAGCCGATCTTGTCGTACTAGAGCACAGTCAATGCCAACGCCCCAACAGAATGCGCCGCTGAGAATACGCACCTCCGACTGACTGACTCGCGGAGGTGGAAGTCGCTCCTCCCTCAGCTGACCCAACCGCACGAGGATCTCGTCAAACTGCGGACCGTACTTGGAGTCCCTAGAAAGGAAAGACATCAGTTTCGAGCTCTTCCCGGGGACGAAGGCATTCACGCACCGTAGTTTCAAAGGATCTGCGCTGCTCTCACACGCCCCGGTCAGCGCTTGCAGCGTCGGGTAAAGCGGCTGCCACTGTCCAGTCATCATAGCGTGCAGGTAGGTCGAGATGTGGGTTCGGATCTGGGCAGGTTGGTCACTGTGTGGTAAAGACCAACACTCGAGTCCGAACCTCATTGAATCCGATATTCATGTTGGCAAACAAGAGTTGGGTGGTCTCGTCTGCGCGCGTAAATCGTTCGCCCAGCGTATCGGGCAGCAAGCCGAGGAGATAGAGGGACTTGCTCACTGCGCACTTGGCATCAGCATCCGGTCACGGCAGGAAATACATCGAGCGCACTTTCGAACACAGAGTCCCCAGAGAAATCCAGCGGTCGCGCGAGGAGCCAATCGATCAGCGGTTGATTACGCCGGGGGTCGCGGTCTTGCAGTTGACTCTGATATCCGTCAGAATTCCCTTCCGGCAAAGAACGCACAGGACAAGACTGACCGTGATCAGCACTTTCCAGAACCCAAACGTGTCTGGCTTGAGTTGCGTGAAAACCACGTCGAGCTTCGCGATGCTCCACTTCCAGAGCTGATCCGAGAGGGACTTGGGCCAGTGCTTAGATCCACGCCAGAGCCCACCCATAAACTCCCCCCCAGCGCGCTGCTTGAACTTGTCCGGGTCCGCGAGTAGTGAATCGGTGATCGCAATCAGTTCGTCTAAAACGCCGCCCTCGAACATCTTGGCTGTGAAGGATGCCGTGTCAGTGCTTTCAGAGCGCATCCCCAAGTTTGATACCCACCGAGTGTCTTGATGTACGAGACATTGTCCGGACGCATCCCGAGCGAGCCGGTGTTCTTAACAGACTCCTGGCTCCAGAGCGCAGCAAGCTTGCCAAAGTAGTCGTCCTGCGTGACCAGCGCATGAATCTCGCGCAGCGTATCGAGCGACTCCGACTCCCATGCGACCGGCTGCTGCTGCTCCTCCCCAGAGTAGTAGGCCCGGACAGTCGGTGTCCAGAGCAGGAATCCCGACTCAAGCTTGTCCACGAAAAAGTCGCGAGGCGCGGTGTTGAGGCGGCCCAGGAATGTCATCGGGTCGGCCACGGGGATGTGTTTGACCACTGGATGGTCCCACTCCTCGAACCAGAGCTGTTCAGGAGATTTGGCGTATGTCCGCATCTTGACGTGTAGCGCGAGTTTAACGATGGCCCTAGACTCTTTCAATGGAGTCGACAGTACCGGAACCTGAATAACTCACATTTGGGCCGTGGACTGGATGGTGTTTTGCGGGCTGACCGAGTTCTGGACAAAGAAACGTGCGACCTGGGCTGGCGCCGGCATTTCCCGCCGTAAAAGCGATGTCAAGAAACGCACGGCGATCTGCGTATAGCGCCACTACATGACGGAGGTTGTGCGTCAATCTCGGCTCATGCGTAGGGCACGGGAACGCTTACATGGGTCAGGGGCCGCTGCGCTATTTCCAGAATCGACGACACCGTCTTCTGGTGCATCTCAAGTTGCAGTGCCACCCGCTTGGGCGTCTTGCTCATTGCCTCGTCGAGGAGCGGTTTGTCAATTACCGCAGGTGTGAATTCATTCTGCAGCTCAGCAAGAGCCGCCTCAACGCGATCGGTTGGCAGCGTATACGAGTCGGAGTGCCCGGACTCTTCTCGGAAGTGGGCCTTGAATTCATTGGCGACCTCCGTGACCAGTTTCTGGATGGACGGCTGCAGGCAGTGGTCAGCAGCAGATCATGTGGGCTGTCACAGATGCAGAAAAGACAACCTTCTCCTCGTGCTGACACTCCAGCAAAGCACGGTGCATATCACCCTGCAAGATGACATCTATCCAAGTCAGTCGCACGTACGGAAAACGGCCATTCATAGACACACCCGATAGAGCATGCAGCACTAGTCATCGTCAGCATCCACGTACCAACGAGCAAAAACAGACTGACTGATGGGCTTGTCGGCCAGAACATACAGCGAGCCCTTCATGCGGTCTGGATCGTTGCCCTTGCCCAAGGCAGCCAGCATAATCGGCAGTACATACCTCAAAAAACGGATGTAGTACTAGTACGTTTCACATCAGCATGTCGTCAAATAAGATTCATACAAGATCGACTTGCCGTTTTCATGGTAGATACGACCGCCTGCGCCTGTCTGCAAGAAAGATCAATCGATGACACAGGCATAGACCGGAACAAAGTACCTTCGGATCCGCGTGTAAGAGGAGAGCGACATCTCGACCAGCTCGACGATAATTCTGTCGTCGAGCTCAGAGCGCAGCCGAAACACGGTTTGCAGCGCCAAACGTTGGTTGTGGTACATCTGGGCTCGCTTGACGAACACCAGCCGCGAGTTGGCCTTTTCCCGCACCCAGATTCGATTTGCACTAGCTTGGTCTCAGAGGCAAAACCCAGCGCCGCTCGAAAGGAAGTGGATACTTACTCGCGGGCCTGCTTGTAGTTCTTGATGAGCGATTCAAGTGTGCTATTGGGCGTGCCGTAGCTGAGCAAGTAAACATCCATCGAACGCGTGACGCCCATGACAGCATCGATGTGGTCGTTCTCGTCCCCGGATGCCTTCTGGCGCAAGGCGGAAGACGCCTTCACAATCAGTTCGCCAAAACGCTCCCGATGGGCGAGGACTTTCTGATACCGTGGATCGGCCGGGTCCGTCAGCGTAAAGCCGGCGTGTGGATTCAAGCTCGAGACGACGAGCCCGGTGACTTCCGACTCCCTGATCAGAGGAGCGACAACGTTCTTCAAATGGGGATACTCCCTGTAAAGGGTCGGCAGCCCGGCCCAAATGGACCGACACGCAAAGAGATACCGACAGAAGTCGTTTCTGGCCTCGCCGTCCCATTCTGAGGTCTTCGGCACCAGTTCCTCCAACTTTTCCACCAGCGGCTTCTGAACAGTGTCGAGTATCTCGAGAACGAACTCGATCTCAGCATCAGACGGCACTGATTCATCGATATCAACCTAGGATAACAGTAAAAACCCGCTCACCATGCCACTCAACCTTGACGTCCTTCGCTTCGTACAGCTTGCCCCAGTGAGCGTTGTGATCCTTCTCGAAAGCCGGGTCCTGCCACTCATCCGAGTTGACGAAACGGTTGTTGATCGGGTAAATGCTCGCGACGTTGTTGAGGATCCGCGACAACATGCGTCCGGTCCCACTGTATCCGCGCTCCCCCTTCGTCTTGTCCGTCAAGAGAATAAGGAGATCGATCACTTGCTTCTTGTACTTGAGAATCGCGGGCCCGCCGTAGGACAAGCAGCCTCGAAGGATGCTCATGTCTGAATTCTGTAATCAGAGTGAAACCCTGTCACCAAAGCAAGCACGTACTCCAATGCAATGTCGTATCAGACGGAATCGCCGCACTGGACGACGTCGTCCGCACACTCGATGCCCCATGCCTGACCTCCTCTTCAACCTGGGCGATGCAGAACGGCAGAAACTTGGCCATGGTCTGCTCGGGCTGAACCCGGGCCAGACACCCCACGAGTTGGCCAAACGCCCTCACAGCGTTGGATTTCGCGTTAGTCGTCCCATAGTCGTACACCAGCCGCAGTACGAGCTCAAACAGGTGGTCCGACAGGTGCAGACATACGATGTCCATCATGCTCTTGATACTGCTCAGAACCGTCTCTTCCTGCTTGCCCCCGGTGGTGTTTCTGCGCCCGCCTAGAAGGGTCTGAGTTCATGGTCATGAGCTCAAGTAGTGCAACGAACCTTCCTCCGGTAAGTTCTCGAACAACGCGAGCACCCTCCTGAACAATGATACAACCCAATCCGCAAATCCTGCCGTGCTGTCCCGCACCAACGCGCGCTCGTCTGTGCGACTCAATTGGGGGACCTCGCCCATCTCGCTACCCGCAGGGAACGGCGTAGTGTCCGAGTCGACGTCCATCGCCTCTTCATCGACAAGCGGCAGCCCAGAGGCGTGTGTCGAGAGATCTCCGACACGGATATGCTGAACAGCAGCGACGATGAACGTCGTCGCGCACGCGGTCTTGACCGGGTCGTTCAGGTCGATTCCCGGCAGAGATAGCTCGAGCAGCGGCACGAGGTGTTTCTGGCCAGGAAACCAGATGCGCTCGGTCACTAGCGTGCGGGAAATCGCCGTGAGCATCGTCAGCACCGCCGTCGTGCGATGCGTTTCGTTGACCACTTCTAGACCATTGTATGCTCGGTCGATAAGTTCAGGCATGATCAAGTTTGGCTCGAGGATCGAGAGGGTCTTGAGTGCTGTTTGCGCGTAGCCCATCGACAGCGGGTCTTTCGAAAACATGGCCAAAAGAGCTGGCGTTCGGAGGATGCCGACGAAGCCCCGCCGGATCGAGGCAGTCAGGCGGTGGCTCTGGAGGTCCAGTCAATGAGCGGTCGTGACCAGAACAGTCTTTTTGCATACTGCGGGGGTTTCACACGAGGGCAGCTCTTCTTCCTTCCATCGTTGATACAGGTAACTCGCTGTATGAGTGAGGAAAGAGGTCAGCTGTAAATTCAAAATTGAGCGATCTCCGGCCAAAAGACAGACGGTGTTGCGTACCACCACAGTGTAAGGCCCTGAATTAGACGGATGGAAGTACGTCTCGACACTAGTCAGCAGCCGGTCTAGCGTATCTAGCGCTTGGCTTCCGGCCACGAAGCCAGCGGTTGCACCACCCTCTAATCCACCGTGGTCCCGCGCATCGCCGTCAACAGCCATGGAGTACACCAGGATCTTTGCCAGACATTCTGCGGATCGGAAGTTCAAGATCATGTTAGCATATAATCAGATAGCCCTACGTTGACGAGAGATGGTCTTCTTGATCCTGGTGGCCCAGCGCTGGCTGGTGTCAGCGTTCGCAGCGGTTCCTAATGAGCCCTGCAAGAAATTAGGAGAGACATCCACATCACAGCGAACAACGCACTTTCCCGCCGACGGGAACCTCTGTCAACAGCATATCAGCGATCGAAGCAGAGAGCCAAGACGAAACCGACTGACCAATGGCAGACATCCCTTTTCCTATCAGATAGTTCCAATCTGCATGAGACCAGATGCCGATGTCCTTCCAGGCGGTAGAGCTAGCGGCGTGTGCCTCGGAAAGCTCAGCTGCCCGCTCAAGAATACGCTCATCGACGATGATGGAGTTGCAGGCCTTGGACATGGATAGGAGAGTCGGCATATAGAGATGCGGATCACTGAGCGGCAGGAATGAGACCAGCACCGGGAACATGCCCACCATCGTCTGCATCGCTTCGTGATTAGCAGCTCGCAGACGTCACATCACATACGTACGGACTGGGTGGTGAGCGGGAGCATCGTCGCGAGCATATCCGGGATTTCCGACGCGGGGAAGTACGCTCGTGCATGCTCAGCAGCGAAGATGAGCAGGTTGATCGTATTCCGGGCCCTACAAGCCAATATCAGTATAAGACCTCAATCGACGGTGTGCAACGCCACGGACTTGAGGTCACTGCGCTTGCGCCCCGAGGGCCATAGCTCCTTCGCGAGTGCGCGCCATAGCGGTGCCCAGGACAGCTGCAGGTCGGCAGGCTCGAGCTTACGCGGCATCCCCGGCTTGGCGTCGATCACGAGCATGAACATCTGTACCCACATCCGGCTGAGCCGCGCGTCAATTCCGGGGAGTACCATGAGCTCATAGTACAGCTGCGCGAGTTTGGCGCGCATAGCTTTCGGAATCGGGTAGTGTTGATGCAACCAGCTGAGGGTGCGAGTACAATGAGCTGTGGCTTCGCAGTAGGAGCGGATCAGAAGGGCGTACCCCTCGAGCACGATGTCCCATGGTAGGATCAGAGCCCAGTTCTTCGTCTTGATCAAGATGTGCATCTTCGACACGATCCACTCCAGTTTCGCGATCATCTCTGCGGGGGTCTCGCATTCGTAAGGAGACGCGGAGAGGTATCCCTGCAGCTCTTCGTCCGCCTCTTCACTCATGATTCAGGTCTGTGTATTGAGGTTGCGTCCGAGGATAGTAGAAAGTAGGATAGAGTTGGGCTTCGAAGGTGACGCGTCCGAGATGTTAACGCGTTGACGGTTTGATTGGCGATCAAATTTCTGTGTCGCGGATCATGCCGTCTCAACATTCCCAGGCACCTGTCGGATCAGTCTCGACAGGTCTCGAGGCTGCTAAGACTTAGGTTCGGATCAAGCCTGACCATCATTATTTGTACTGATCATCGTGATGATGATCATGTTGGGGCCACAACAATTGGACAGGCTCGCCGGCCCGGAGCAGGCTTGCTCCGAACCTATGTAGCTAAGACTCGAGCTGCCTCCTGATGCGATCATCAGGCGATGACGAATCCAGCGGCAGCGACTGTCACTTGTCAGTGAACGGTTCCTCGGCCCGGAGGCAGGCTTGCCCAACCCCGCCACAGTCGACCACGCCTGGTCATTGCCGCGCATCGTCTGACAGATCCCTCTTCCTACGCACCAATGCATTCCCCCTCAAATGCAATAATATTCTAGCGAGATATACAAATGCTCATTACAACCACAAATTGACGCCTCTGCCTCCAAGAATTCGAACAAAGCAACAGTACAGTGGCCTACAATAACGTCCGCCCCATGGCAAGTGATGCCTCAGTGGTAATTAAGTGCGGTGGTGGTGATACACATGAATGATAAGAGTGACTGACGTGGCGTGGTCAGACTTCAATGTTGCCATCGCGGCAGAGACCAAAGACTCACTGCGGTGGTTTCGAGTGTCTAACTCGCGGATGTGCGACTGGGATCTGCGCGCGCTATGAGATGATGCATCCGCCGTTGGTGCTGTGCGATGTGTCTTCATCAACGGGCTGGGGCTGGGGCTGATCGCGCTCCTCCGACCTGCTCGAAGACAGGGCGTCGGTAGAGAATATGTCGAACGTGCACAAGGTGTCCATGGGTGTCGCAGGGAGGGAGGGATGGGTGTATCGCAGGCCGCTGGAATGCGGTATGGGAGCAGAGGAAGGCGGGGACGTGCAAAGTGTGCGAACTGATTCTTCATCCACCAACCCCGCCCTCCTTATATCCCACCTCAACCAATTGTTCTCCGGGCAGCGGGTTAAGTCCCGGCAGTCTCTTCTACACAATAAACGAGCTTGCGCGTTCTTTCGTCCCCTCTCACCCACTTACAATAACGAGAGTGATCGGTTTCCCAATCGGGACAACGTGTCGGTGCAGAACAAAAAGGGTGCGGCCGGCGGGATTGGTTTGCAAGGATTGATGCTGATATCCCCGTAGTTCCTCCTGGCGCATGGTCTGGTTCCATGCGGGCCGGATGACGATTCGGGGATTCGCGTCTCAAGTACGAAGCATCGTCAGTTTTGTAGGAATCACCCCCCTCATTTCGTGCGAGCTCATTCAAGACTGTGATACAGTTCGAGATCCATTCCTCGATCCAAAGCAGCCCGTTTAGTCGCAGCGCACACCACAGCACCACTCCATGCAGCGTTGCACTAGCTCCTGCAATGCGTCTATCTTTAGAACAGCGGGAGCAGCCTAATGCAGGGCCGCCTTCGATATCCACCAGAAGCCGTCTGGCCTTCATTCCAAGCTCGTCGATTACTCTATGCAACGCCCGGCATTCGCGCTTCTTTCCGAAGGCCCGTTGGCCAACGCTTAAAGTGCGGTCCAGGTCGCGGCCCCTTCCACCCGCTTCAGCATGTCCGACATGTACTCTCCTGCGAGCAGCATCCACGAAGAGGAGAGGTTTTCGCCCGAGCGGCAGTCCCAGGAGAAGCGGCTCGTGAGGAAGCTGGACATTCGCGTTCTTCCAGCGATTTTTATTGTTTTCGTGATGAACTATGTCAATGTGCGTGCAGAAACCGTGCCTGGCTTCTTCCTCCTCTTCCTCTTCGCTCACAGATATCGTGGCTAGCGAACAGCAATAACAGCTGCTCGACTAAAGGGTCTAGAGCATGACCTCCATCTGACTGGTAAGCTCCGTGTCGAATATTCCCTCTCCGATGCTCAGCGTGCAACAGACATACAATACAATGTTGTGCTTTCGATTCTTTTTGTGACGCTTTCGTTGGCTCAGCCGCCTTCGAACATGGTGTGCCGTCTCTATTGTCCTCGATGAGTGCCAATTGATGCCGGAAAGCTTCTGAACAAAATCAAGAGGTTCGGAGCCTTCTCTTGAGCCGGAGCTGACAAGAGCCAATGACGGCTCATCAGGCCTTCGATCTACATTGGAAGCTGCGTTGTGATTTGGGGGTTAGCTAGCGCGCTCTCTGGTGTGCGTACTCAGCTCTACGTTGACTTGTCTATGTTTTGAGCGATACCCAGGCCACTACGAACTTTGGCGGGATACTCGTTTGCCGACTGTTCATCGGATTACCTGAGGTGCGTCTTCTTTGGCCTGTGTCCTTCGCAGATGGGATTCTTGACTGACGTCACAGGCGTCGTTCTATCCGGGAGGTGCGCTGGTCCTTACTCTGACTATATTCCAATCGTGAAGTCAATGCACAGCGGTGTATCTTCTCTCTTGCTGGTACACGAAGCGAGTAAGTGTTTCGTCCATCTTTCTGGCCGCCCTGTTGAACACCTCCAGGAGCTTGCTTTCCGTGCAGCAATATTGTTCTCTGGCCTAGACTTTGCGAATGCGTTCGGAGCGGTGAGCTCTAAACCCTTCTGATCTGCTGCATCGCTCCAACCAGGGACCAGCTTCTGGCAGCTGGAATCTTGGCTGGGATGGAAGGGATCTTGGGGATCGCTGGATGGCGCTGGTGCGAGCTTGTACGTTTCTCCGATGGGTCCGGCTCACGTACAATGCCCGTAGGTTGTTCATCCTCGAGGTGCGGTGCGCTATCTGCAACCCTGTAAATCATTGGTCTCACGAATGATGCTCAGGGAGCCGCGACGATATGCCTAGGCTTTCTGGTGATGTGAATCCCTGCGGCCCCCTCGTTTGGCGCTGGCGTGCTTATGCGACACAGGTGGCTGCTTCCAGACTTCGTGAGCTTCCCCTCCCCTGAGTGGCCTTTCGAACAATCTCACCCCGCGCCAGCCACGGAACACCAGGTGGATAAGTGACAAGGAAAGCCGGCTAGCTCAAGCTCGTCTGGCCGAAGACGCTGGGGAAGCCGACCAGGACACCATGTCGGACTCGTATGACACGATCGAGCTCCCGGGTTCTTCGCTGATCAACTTCATGTAGCTACCTGCAGGGGCTGAAGCTTGCTGTCGCTGATCCGCTTGTGTGGCTGTTCTCGATAGTAATGTGTGAGCCGTCACAACTGTGTAAGGTGCTCAACCACCTTACTTCTCGCCTCAGTGTCACAACATATCGGAAGGAGTGTTGGCCAGTTCTTTCCTACGTGGGCAGCCCTTCAAATGCCGCTGCCATTGACTGATACTTTCTATGCAGTTTCGCCAAGACCCTGGGATACTCGACCACCATCACACTTCTGCTCACTGCGTGAGTCTCCCCGGCTTTTTGCTCCCTGGAACACGACCGAACGTCGTCCAGTCCACCTTGGATCGTTGCAGCCATCATATGTCTGGTTAGTGCCTGGCATGGAGGTCAGTCCACATCCAATCGCGCTCCGGCGCAAGCCGTCAAGCATTTGCAGATAAGACCGGGGAACGATTCTTCCATGTGTCTGTATGGATTTGGGCCATGATGGTGGGCTTCATCATCAGCCTCTGCACGATGAACGTCGGGGCGAGGTACTTGTCCATGTTTCTCATGGCAATAGGCGACGCCGGTGCGAAGCCAGCGCTTGGCACGGCCTGTCGTCGTTGACTCAAATCTCGGTGTTCTAGGCTGTACGATGGCTATGGTCTGGACGTCCAACTCCCTCCCCCGGCCTCCGGCGTACGGATCTAGTTGTCCGCCGTGCATCTGTGTGCTGACCTGACCTCAGCAAACGTGCCGTGGCCATCGGCATTGTCAATGGTTTCGGTAATCTCGGCACTCTGTGAGTGCTGCATGTGTCCCATGCCAAGCCGACATTGAATTCAGTCTCGACAGGATAGGATCTTACATGTGGAAGAACAAATGGGCTCCCCGTTATGCCCAATCCTCAGAAATCTCGTTAGCGGCTTTGGCCTTGAGCAGTGTGTTCACCATCAGTCAGTCGTAGTCCTCTTTCACAGGGCGCGTCTGAAGACCTGTCTCCAGTCATCCGGCAGCGACTCATCAATATGAACCGCAAATTGGATACGGACGAGAGCATGATATCGGAAGAACGAGTGAAAAAAGCAGCCCATCTCGAAGGTATTACAATCCAGCAAGCCATGAACAAACGCAAAGGATACCGATACCTGTACTAAACCGAGACAGTAATGATACATTGCGACTTGTGGTAGATACAGATGAGACGCCGCTACGTTCAAATCATTAATAGCTTTTATAACAGAAAAAGTCCACATGAAGTCCACATGAAAACGTGATCTACGCTCAAGCTCGTAGAGGCTTGTACACTCCCCGACTGGCGCAACCGCAGCACCTGCCGATAAGGAACATGATGGGGGTGATGAACAGCAGACCCATGGCGGCGAGTGTTAGCCAGATGGCGTTGCCCATGACCGCGACGTTCACACCCGACAAGTCGTTAACCCGCTTCTTGATGATGAAGAAAAAGGCGAGGTCGAACACGAACACCACCAAGCCTGTCGCGCCGGCAAAACCGCTGAAGCAATCTGCACAGCACTCGGCGATGATCGGCACGCCGCATAGTGCGAGGAGGCCGAAGGCGAAGGCGCCGAGCGTGATTGCGAGCGCGGCGATGTGCAGCACGAGCGCTTTCGTCAGTGCGGTGGCAGCGACATCGATCTCCTTGGTGAGAATCGCTGGCAGCGAGCCGTTGATGAATTGCGAGGCCTCTGCATGCTTTATTAGCCGCTTTGTGGGCGCCCCAGGATCAGGAATCCGTACCTGAAAGCGAGTACCCTATCTTCGCGGGCGAGCATTGGAGCCCCAGCCCGTTCTTCAGATCCGTGCAGAATCCGAGCACTCCAAGGTCGACAAACGGCGTCGTCTGGTTGCTTGAGGCGGTTGAGGCCGCGACGCCCGCGAGGTCGATACGGAGGAAGTAGATAGATTTAAAGTACGGCACATCGAATGCGACGAGCGCCAGGAGGACAGCCGCCGCAGCGATACAGGCAACACCGAGGATCTTGTCGCAGCCCATGATATGTAACGAAGAAAAAAATGGAGAGGGGTGGAAGAAGGCAGATGACAAGCTGCTGTCCGGGTCTCCGTGTTTTTGAGGGAGATTCGCACAGCCACACCGAGAAGATACTCATGTGCGTGATTGCTGATGCACAGCCCATGCAACGCTGCGGGCAGTGCGCCGATGCCACGGCCTTCTTAGAGTCGTAATGCAAGCTGTTGCGAGCAACGGATTACCTCCGGACACAGCGCTTTCGGGCATATCACTATGCACTAACAGGACTGATCACCGCGACGTCCGACCTATACTCTCAATCCTCTCTGGGGTGATATTGCGATACGGGCTAAGCAATCCAGTTTAGGGACATCTAGCGGACCATCGAGAAGCACAAATTTGATTCAACTTGACAAGCTTCTACTAGAGCCAAGCATTGGTGGACGTTGTTAGAGCTACACAAGTGACGGCGATACAGCGAAATCGGAAGATACAGAAATCAGGGCTGATTCGGGGGCAAATTGCGGTGGACGGAGACTACAGCAGGTGAAAGCACAGAACAGAGATTCAGTTGAAAGGCAGGATGGTGCTGATGACGGCCCGAGTTTCTACAGACGGATTGGGCCCACATCGCTTGAGAAAATACAGTAGGACTGACCCTCGCAAGCTTCTTTCACCTGGGCCATCCCTTCAATTTGAGCCTTCTCCGTTGTCGAGCGCAGCGCGTCACTCGCGGCACGCTGTTTCCGTGCAAGCTCCTGTCATGGGTGCGGAGATGCATCTATGTGAGACTCTAGATTCCTAGCCGGCACGCACGACGAGTTTTTGCTGTTCAACTCTGATTTCGGTCCACAGCGCTCGGATCGAGTCTTCGGAGCTGGCGTAGTCGAGCACAAACTTGGCGTAGACCTTCTCGCTGTCCCGTGACGCGTCAGTGTATGCGTTGCACTGACGGAGAGCCTGACACTGACGATTCTTCTACCGCGTTCTTCACGACTGCCGCGGCGGACGATATCTGCGAAGAGTTCAGACTCAGAGAGATCGGGATGGCAAAGAGTCAGCAACCTCGGAAGAGAGCTTATTCTTCGCAGCCTGCAGAAACTTCTTCTCTGTTTCTTTCCTCTTCTTCTCTTTGGTGACTGCAGATGAGGTCTCAGCAGTCGAAAGACAAGTTCTTAATCAGTGCCTTGCCAAGTAACTTCTGGGCAACAGCGAGCTGGAGGCTTGACGATGTTAGCGTGATCCATATGCGCATAAGGAAGCGCGACGCACGCTTGATCATCGCTCCCGTTCGACTGCTGCGATCCAAAGTCGAAGTCGTCTCCAACCTGGGGAAGCGAGTCTTGCTTTCTCATCACTGAGTGTCGAGCTTGATTCCGTCGCTGGGCCATCGTCGTGCCAGGAAGGCCGGAAAGATTTGCGCGGAATGGGCTGAGGGAGGTACGCGATCACGTGTCGTTAATTATTACGTTCAGTGAGGTTCAGAAAAATTCAATCAGATCCAATTCATGCTTCGTTTCGACAGTATTTAGCTTGTAAAACATTAATCATGGTGGGTCATTTTTTAAAGAGGAAGACTGGAGAAGTTTCCAACTAATTTCATGAGGCAGATCGATCAGTGGTCATCCGGGGAACATTGGATTCAGCGTGAAATTGCCATCGACTCAGCAGGTCCTCCTCCAAATAATGACTGCACTCCAGCATGGGCAATCAAGGGAGAATACATGCTTGGCCTCGCTCGGCGTCGCAGGACACGGTTCGGCACACGAGCTCCGGTCCCGAAGTGGGTAGATCATGATGTGTGTCACTTCAATGTCATGACGCACGCTGGCATTGATCGATCGAGAACAGCCTTCCGTCTACATGCTCAGACTCAGACTCCACGACGCATCCTGAAGTCATGCGAGTATCTATGCAGTATCTCTCCCAAACTTCCCTTAATCTCTGCCCAGCTGTGAGCAGGTGCAGCAAATGGAGAGCCTTCCAAACGAACTTTTCGACCAGATCTTCTCCTTCCTCGATGAGTTAGACCTTCGATCCGTTTCTCAGGTCAACAACCGTCTACGCCCGATAGCCCTGTCGCACTACCTCGCATGTTTCAACGTCCCAGCATCTATTCTCTCCTCCTCTGAAGTCTCCACGCTCTCGCTCTCCATTTCGTCTGCGTTCCATCTGATTCTTCTCATCTCACATCTTCGCCCCATTCTTTCACTAGTCTGCTTCGAATCCCGCACCTCCCATGGCCCTCAACTGCGCTATCGCACGCTGGCGCGGATCATCTCTCAAGCCCCACCCATCCCAGACATCCTTATCTACAACCGCCAGTATATGTTCCAGAAGACCAAGCGCGAAGCAGGCTACCTTCTCTCACGGATCCCCTCCTCGCGCGACCGCAAGTTGTTGATATTCAGCGGCCACCGCACGCTCGTTTCCATTCCCCGCACAACGCCCGCCGTCCCTTGGCGCCTGCTCCCGCCGCCATTCTCCGCCGGAGACTCAGAGCTCCTCCGCGTGATGCTGCTCGTGGTACTCTGCATCCCGCTCGTCTTTGCGTACTTCGTGACGCTGATTGTCAATTCGGTCGTCTTCGCGCGGTGGTTGTATGCGCTTGTGCGCGGCCCGCCGTGGCCCGCGGAGGACAGGATCCTGCATGACGCAGGGCCTCTCGCGTTCGACGAGTGGATGCGCGTCCAGGTACTGGACGACGACACCACCCTCGCGACACTGGCGAACCAGGCGGCGGTGCTTGCTTTGCGCCCGTTGAGCGGCGTGGGACCCGAGATGTATGGCAAGGTCCTACGCACGATGGATCTTTCGAATAATCTGGTGACACTGAACATATTCGAGGGATGCGGGATCTGGTTGGGGGACCTGTTGGAATTCTTGAGCAGACACACGATGCTGGAGTCGCTCAACATCCAGCACAACTCTGTTCTCCTTCCTCCGAGTGACGAGCCCAGGAAGAGCCTGTCGCTGTCCTCCAGCGCCATCAAACAGCTCACTGCCCCTCCACTGTACATACCGCACCTGCTTCCCAGCACCCCCAACGTCTTCCAGCTGCGACTGACTCTCCCTCCTGCCCCCCGCCGTCTGGGGCGGAAGCACAGCCATGCCGACACTTATCGCACAGCGCTAGCGCACATCGGCGGGCTGCCCATCGACCATGATCTGACTCTGTATCTCGCACTGTCCCCGACGTCCCCCACAGCGCCCTGGCTGCTCGACAGCCAGCCGTCGGATGCGGAATCAGGCGCGCCCCCCGCCGAAGCGCATCTCACGCACGTGGGGACGCTCGTCCTCGAGGCCGTCGGGCTGAAATTCAAGGCGGTCCACGTGCACGCGATGGTGCCATGGCTGACACGGTTCCCGGCGTTGCGGATGATCTCGTTCCCGTTTGGGTCGGTCGAGAAAATCGCGCCCGAGCAGAGGGCGGCGCTCGTTGCCGAGATTTGTGCGGCGTGTCGCGGCGTGTCGGGCGCGGGTGATGTGGCTTTCAATATACCTGAGTGAACTGACGATCGATGTATTTGCCCGTTGTATCAGCTTATGGAAGAATTCATGTGGACTTCGCTGTCGATGTGCGAGGTCCTGGAAGCTACATCGTAGGCTCGCTGCATGTGACCGCGCCTTAATTCCACCCGTTTTTTGATCGACCGACACACCCTTGTCAATCGCGACGGAGGAGTTTGAGTCCCGGAGATCATAGGGTCATGAGGCCCGGACTGCATATGCTCCCAAGCAAGCGGTGTCCTCTCGTTCACGTCGCACGGGCAACATCGCTCTAGATTTTAGTTCTACTTCCTAATCAAGTCTACGCTGCATCTGTCGTCTATCTCCACGGACCAATATGCACATACACACGGGCTCACGCCTTGCCGATCGCAAGCACCTCCTGTGCGGTCTTTTCACCGCTGACCACGGCTTGCACTACATGCAGCGCCTGCGCAAAGTCGCTGAAGAGGATATGCGGGATGCCCTCGCGAACGCAGTACGCCGCGAGATCATTCTCGCCGTCCAATTTCTCTTTCACGAAGAGCACGTCGGCGTGTCTGGCCGCAGACATGTCTGCAGAAGTCAGCACGGTGCGGTGTACTATCGTATGCGGGGCAAGACTTGCCTGATACCCCGTCTCCAAAGAAGAACAGCAGGGGCGGGTTGGCGAGGTCTTTGTATGGCAGGATCGCGCGCGACTTGTCATGGCCGAAGCCGCTGTACGCGCAAGACAGCTTCAGAGGGGGGAATAAGAGCACCTGGGGAGGGCTTACCTCGAGGGATGTCTGTATTTGATGGTCCATTTGCCGTCTGGCTGGATCTCAACATCATTAGCGATTATGTCGATGCGTTCTGCCACCTCGTCTCCGAGGAGGTTCGAGAGGACTGCGCGGATGGAGGGCGCCATTCCGCTAAGTACCCCTTTAATCAGCGTGATATCTTGAACAGAGGATGCGGGGAGAAGCCTCACCTCGATACAATGACGAACGGGATATCAGCAGCTTCACACCACGCGTAGAATTCTTTGAACCCCGGGTCGAGCTTGATGTCTGCGTCCGGTAGTGAGCATGCAGTCGGTGGTACCGCGCGCGGGTGATGTAGCACGCACTCTTCCGGAGCACATCCTTGCATGCGTCAAAGTCCCAGCCATTCGCCACGATGCTCTGCAGCATCTCCCGGAACCCATCCCGGAACGTCTGCTTCCCAGCTAACACGTCCAGATTCCCCTGTCGGCGTCTGTCCTTGCCGAATCCGAGGTTGTCCGTCATGTCTGTGGTTCACGCATGCATCCCGATCAGACCGATTCAGCCGGGAGAGAATCTCGGTACGCTCACAGTCATTGGAGTCCTGCAATGTGATGGTGCCATCCCTGTCTGGAGATGAATTCGGTCATCCCGCGAGTGCGACGCGCAGAGGAACCCGCACCAGTCCGACAGAACGACGAACGGCTTGTTGTCGTGCACGGGTGGGTAGGGCAGTGTGCTCTCGGGTATCGCGTCGCTCATGATGGTAGTAAGTAGTATCGATGGACGGGATTTGCCAGGCATCCGGACTCGGAGATATCCGGGCCGGAATATTCATTTTGCCCAAGAAACACGATCACGTTAGCTAGATTGTGTCACGTATGCACTTCCAACCACGCGTCATTCGAAATCGCTCATGTCGATCAAGGGTCATGGAAGGTCATGAATTGTCAAAATATGTGATGAGCATAGGCCCCGATCACTTGGGCCGAGTTCTCGTCCACGTCCTGGAAAGATTCACCCCATTTCACTTGGAGTCCTGTGGCTTGCTTTATTCCTTTGTTGGAGCAGTCTAGGGACTTGCACAGGCAGATTCTAGCGTGTCTTTGTCTTCTTTTTTTACTTGAGACGATTTTGGGTGGCATTCTAATCTTTTTGGGTGCCTTCTGGTCGTAAAAAAGGCTCGGTCCTGAAATTGAACCATCTACAATCTCTCTTGATAACTCTATGCTAGTTTAAGCTACAAGTTCTCAAGAAAAGTAGGGAGAAGCGAATATTATCTTTCATGCCTTTTCTCGCTTTGGCTGTTCTTGTGTACAAGATCCCATCGGCCGAAGGGCAGGCAAACTGTGCAGCAAAAAAGCTAAAGCCTGGAACTCATTTTCCAGACAATGGCATCGGCGCCCTACTACACGGCTCCGCGTGGAACAGTCCAATAACGTGAGTGGTCTCCAGCCAAAGCGTATCCGCTTCTGGGATGAGGCAGCGGGACAACATTCCTGACCATGAATGCATCCGCGTGAGCCCTATTCGGCAACCGTATCCGATGTCCGGAGAATAAATGTCGGATCAGGATGTGGGGATCGCCACAATCGTTTGGCATGTGGCGGAAAAGCTGGCGGCGCCCATGCAGAGCAGTGCGATGCAACTGTCTGACCGAGGGGTATAAAAGAGGTGCACGAGAGCCCATGGATCCTCATTCTACTCGATTCGACTCGGTCTTTCGCCGTATTACACTTCATCTTCCAAGGCGCTCTTCTTATTCACCTCACCCATCATGCACTTTGGCAAATTTGTTCTGTTCGGGCTCTCGAGCATCTCCGCTGCCCAGGCCGCGCCCGGCATCGCCTCGTTTTTCAACTCGCTGACGTCCGCTGTCGCCGACGACGTTTCCTCGCTGGCCAGTGCCGCCAGCGCCGCCGCGGCCCAGTCGGTCGTCACTGTCCTCGCCAGCGACAGCAACGGGATCTACAAACTCCTCGTCTGTGAGCCCTCCTCGTGCCCTCAAATAAGTAGATAACAACGGTTCTGAATTCACATCCCCTAGCGGAATCCGGCAAGGAGTTCACCGTCGTCACCACCGCCGCCGGCCCAGCGATCACGCTCGCTGGACCGGAACTCCTGGGATCAGTCACGACGACGTTTGCGGGGTCCACCTACACCATCGCGACCGCGCTGCCGGTCGTAACCGCACCGACGGGCTCTCCGACCAGCACCGCCCGTTCCGGCGTTCCCGGTCCTGCATCCCCTGCGACGACGATGGGATTCATCACGGTGCTTGTCGGCGTCTGTGTCGGCGCTCTCATCGCCGTTTGATCGCTGCAATAGAATGGCTGAGACATACAGACGTGGGACATAGATACCAGAATAGTGGCGGAGGATTCCCATACGGAGTGTTCATGAAATCCATCGTCTGTGTTTGTTCAAAAAATGAGAATCTCGACCATGTCCCTCCGAAAAAAAGAGCTGAACATTGACTTGGTGAAGTCAAATGTTCCGAAGAGAATGCCGAATATTCTGTGCCAAATGAACATTTAACACAGGAAAAATCGGAGATGGATAGATTTTGAACTAGCTTGAGACATTCCGACAGGTGCGTAGGCAGGTCGAATCAGTTTACCGGCGCGCGGTCCCTATGAGGATAAACTGTTGATCCACGTTCTCTGATTATAGATGAGTCACTTGACGTGCTTCAACTTTGTCCGCGTGGCTTGTCCCTGGTTCGGATAAAAGAAGACAAGTGACCCTACGAAATAGAGTTAAACAGCCTGGTAGAGCGAAAAGATCGAGAATTGAACAGACCACACTGGCGTGACTCAGGATTCCGCTACAAAGTTTTTATCCTTTTAAGTCAAACAATCACACCGCCCTGCCGTCCCATACCATCATGAGATTCTGGATTATCCCCGCGATTCAAGTTCTTGACGGCAATACAGCCCCAGAATTCCGTAATCGTAGATCGTTCACCGCCGCACCTCGCCGAAATCCCGAAGATCTGGGAGCTACGGGCTCATGACCCACGTCAGTCCAGATGAGACACCAGGATCGGACTCGGACACTTTGAAAACCCGACGAGGAAGTGTCATCCTTAGTAGCGTCCAAAATTGCCTCCCAAAACGAGCCGGAGGCCGAAAACGAGGTGCGGTGGTACCGATACGCCGTTACACTGCCTGGCTGGAATTCGGTTGCTGCACCCCGATCAGCATGATGGAGGGCATCGCGCACATGGAGGCGGTCGCGACAAAACATTCCCTCCATAAAGATCGAGGCAACGCGGGCTAGAGAGCTCGAGAACAGAGATCGATCGTCCATCGTAACGGAGCCTAAAGCGTAACGGTTCGTGGCAGGATCTCAATGTCGTCAAAAGTCTCAGTAGCCACATTGAACTCTGCTCTAGGGCTGAGTTTTCGGAGGTCCAATTCCAGACCATCCGCTTTGCTCGATTGCCAGAGAGATAAGCGCCAATCCAAAGAACCAGACTGCAGATGCGCTGCGAGACACCTCCCGCTTTGACCTCTAATTAGCATCACGGATGATCGGGCCGATATACTTAACCGAAGGGAAATGCTTCGGATCGAGTCCTTCAAGGTCGATGTGCCCTCCATGCCTGTCTCTAGATAATTCGGCAGTCATCTATGGAGGCCTGGAGAGCCCTGCTGATAACCGAGAATAAGCGACGTTGATGGCTGATGGTCGGATGTGGGACCCCGAATACTGGCTTTTGTTTCTCAACCTTGAAGTACAGTATACATGTCGTAGACAGAGAATCGGAATCGAGAGATAAGCGATAGAGATTTGACAAAATAGGAGTTTTGGAGAGCTGTTGGGGAGATAACAAGGTAGTGGGCGTCGAAAAGGCAAGATAGAAAGCGCTTGGAAAGTGACTTTAGACTCTAGAGGGTGGGTGAAGAAGATTTCTTGTTTTTCTTGTACTGTACTACAGGTATTTTATACTAAGTGTGAATCAAATCAAAAGGAGATAAGTAAATTGAGCTGGAGGCATCCAGTGATGATCAGAATGATCACGTGCAACAACCTTGACGAGCTCGCTGACAAATCCATTGAGATCTTTCAGTGCACGTGATAGATTGATCAGAATGATCACGTGCAACAACCTTGACGAGCTCGCTGACAAATCCATTGAGATCTTTCAGTGCACGTGATAGATTGATTTCAGGGCTAGGGCGCATCACTGCTCATCAGTGTGTCACCGGAACAGATAGTGCACAAATATTATGACGACTTAGACTACAGGCCAGGTCACTTGTGCCGGAACAAACAATACTCGGAAGTAGTAAAGTAGTAATTGCAAACTACCACTCATCAGGAACATTGAGCTCGTTTGCTTCTGTCGCAGACAATACCGCGCAGTGGAGATACGACCAGTAGCGATCACCTAGAAGACAGAGTCTCAGCGAGTGTAGAGACACAGGAGCTATATCATTAGCTGTACCTAGAAGACAGAGTCTATGGTACAAGTCATAAGTAAGGTCATTAGATCGTAAGAGAGAATGCATACCTCAGCGAGTGTAGAGACACAGGAGCTGAGGATATGGAGCGTATAGTACTAGGTTTATATACCAGTCTGGAGCAGATATCATGATGTCATAGTGGAGTAATGATATCATAGATGAGTAATGGATGACGCAATAATGAGGTCAGGTATGAGGTCATTGTGGAGCGAGCCAAAGTAATCTAAGAATACTACTTATGATGTCATGTCTACATACTGTGATAGTCGCTAATACAAACAAGCTTCAACACTCCCACTCGACTAAACAGTCGGATCACGAAGACCCAAAGACAGCCGATGTTGTTGGAACTTCACCCATGCCAAAGACTTTGTGAGCGTGTCTGAGATCATCGCATCAGTCGGCACATGGTAAAGTTGGACATTGCCAGCTTCGACGGATTCTCGTACGAAGTGATAGCGGATGTCGATGTGCTTCGTCCTCCTATCATGAACTGGATTTACTGCCATGAAAATAGCGCCTTGGTTATCAACACAAAGAGGCGTGGATGGCAAGTCATATCCGAGCTCAGTCAACAAAGTGCGGATCCAGGCAATCTGGCGCGTAGCATCGCTCAGAGCCATGTATTCGGCCTCTGTTGAGGACAAAGCGACCGTGGGTTGGCGTCTAGAAACCCAGGTCACTGCACAACCGGCGATGAAGAAGGAATATCCCGTGGTTGAATGCCTGTCGTCTTTGTTCTCCGCCCAATCAGCATCGGAATAACCGATAAGGCCTGCGCCAGTGGAACCATCATAGCAAAGTTGGTAGTTTTTGGTGCCCTGAAGGTACCGGAGTATGTATTTTGCCATGTTCCAATGATGTTCTGACGGGTTGCTGTTGAACTTTGATAGACGGATGACTGCATAGGCAATGTCGGGGCGAGTACCAAGCATGGCGTATAGAAGGCTGCCAATCAGTTGCTGGTATCGGGTACGACGGTCTTCATCAACTTCTCCATCATGCTTCTCGAGCACGATGCCGGAAGGCAGGGGAGTACGAGCTTCTTTACACGAAGACATCCGGAATCGTTCTAGAACTCCTTCGATATAGGAAGCCTGATCGATCCAGATTTTACGCGCTTTGCGATCACGAACTATGTTCAGACCAAGGAAATCCTTTGCAGGACCAAGATCTGTCATTTTGAAGCGGTTCGCGAGCAATGATTTGATCCGCGCTATCTCCGGCAGATTGTTGCCCATAATGAGCATATCGTCAACATACAGCACCAAGATGATGACCGTATCTCCCATTTGTTGGCGATATGTGTAGACACCGGCGTCGGAGTATGTCCGAGCAAAACCAAGTTCGAGGAGGGCATTGTGGATTTTGATATTCCACTGACGAGACGCCTGTTTCAACCCATAGAGTGATTTACGAAGGCGTGCCACCTTTTCTTTTGGCCATGACGAGAAACCTTTGGGTAATTCCGGAAGTTCCATATAGATTTCTTCCTCCAGATCCCCGTTTAGGAATGCCGTTTTGACATCCATGGCATGAATCTCCCAATCTTCGAGAGCAGCCAGAGCCATAAGTATGCGCAGAGATTCATAGCGCAATACTGGCGAGAAGGTCTCATCATAGTCAAACCCATGAACCTGAGTAAATCCCTTGGCAACAAGTCGTGCTTTGAAACGACCGTCACGCTTCCTGCTAAACACCCATCTGCATTTGACAGTCTTTCGACCGCGTGGAAGGTTGGTCAAATCCCAAGTACAGTTTTCCTCGAGAGAGTCCAGTTCTTCGCGCATTGCGCGCTCCCACTTGAGTGCATCCGGGCTCTTTGCTACGTCCCGCACGTTCTGAGGCAAGTCATGCTCAGCTTGGGCAGCTGACAACATAGACTCAATGCTGCTAGGCCTCTGATACGTAGTTCCATCCGGCAAAATGCGGGGCTTATTTCGACGAGGGCGGCGATGTGCAATCGGGCGATCGTCTATCGGGCCAGGCATTAGGGGTACTTCTCGCGATCCCGTGACAGGACCTTGTTGCGCGAGGGGTGCCGGGGGCGGTGGAAGAGCAGGGGGTGGTACACTTGCATAAGGCGTTGCAGGCGCAGGATTATTGATAAGGTCAGGGAAGGTTTCCTCGAATGGTGTGAACGGCTCCGGTCCAGAGGACACATTGCCGGTGACTAGCTTGGACTTGGCAGGGAATACTCGCTCATCGAACTCAACATTTGAAGAGACTCGTATCTTGCGTTGATTCGGATCCCACACTTTCCAAGCTTTTGTCTCTCGTTCGTATCCAACGAAGATGTGGTCGGGGCGTCCATGCTCCAACCCTTTCGGGCGTTTTTCAACATCCACATAGAGAGACGCCTTGCATCCAAACACACGGAAATAAGAGACGTCTGGCTTCTTTCCAAGCCACAGTTCCGCAGGTGTTCGCCATCCCAATCGTGCCATAGGTTGTCTATTATGAACGTGGACAGATGCATCCATAGCACATTGCCAGAAGCCTTTGGATAGGCCGGCATCGAGGCGCATGCATTCCGCTTTCTCGTAGGCTGTGCGATTCCAACGTTCAGACCTCCCATTTTGCTGTGGTTCGCGTGGCGCGGACTTAGGGTGCATAATACCACGTGCATTGAGCCAGGCTGTGAGTTCATCGGACATATATTCGCCTCCACGATCTGACCGGAAGGCCAGTACTTTTGTGCCAAGCTGACGCTCTGTAAGGGCAACAAAGTTTTTAATCGCAGTAGAGGCTTGGTCCTTTGATTTAATGAACACCATCATGCCAAAGCTCGAGAAATCGTCGTAGAACGAAATTGTGTACCGTGAACCTTCCAACGACTGAGTAGGCCAGGGGCCCATCAAATCAGTGTGGATAAGCTCGAGGGGTTTGCTAGCACGTTTCTCTGATGCAGGGTACGGATGCTTGTGCTGTTTTCCAAGCATACATCCATCGCACATGCCGCGCTGGTCTTTATTGCGTCGCAAGGGGGGAACACCTTCAACTTGTGTCGGCAAGTGAGTAAGGGTCCTCCGAGCCGCATGACCAAAACGCTTATGCCACAATTCACGATCGGTAGTTTCCAGGGAAGCGAGCGCGGTAGACTCGTGAGATGCAGACACAGATGGTGCCACGAGCTCCTCGGGGTAGTACCAGTAGCAGCGATTGCTTGCTTTAAAGGTCATCAAGACATCCCTATGCGCTTTTCCCTTGTTGAGCCAATCCTTGGTGACTAGGATTGCCTTGTTGTCACCAACCACGGTGTAGTAACCAGCCTGATCGAGCGCATACCCAGAAAGGTAACGCCCTCTTATGTGCGGGTTGTAGATGACATCCTTCAGCGTGAAGGTGTAGTCGATGCCACTACTAGTATGACCCCGCAACACAATATCTCCAACGGCTTCATTCTTGAAGCGAGCTCCCGACCCAACGATTACATAGGTGTCGATAGGTCTGATGTTGTGAAGATCAGATCGGGTGTTTGTCATATGATGCGTACAACCCGAGTCCCATAGAAAACGAATTTTGGAGTCGTCTCCCATTTCTTCAACAAAAATTCCATCATCGATGTGTTTGAGGGAGTCACTCATGAGATAGGACGAAATGTGCATTCCATTGGAGGCAGCTGCAACCGCGGGAGCGGCTACAACTTCTTTTACAGCGCTAGTACCATCACCGCTCTTCTTTTCCTTCTTCTTTTTCTTCTTCCCCTCATCCTGCTTCCCCTTGCCTTTGTCAGAAGATTGACCAGTCGGCTTGAGGTTGGGATACTTCTTGTAGCAGGATGCCGCAACGTGACCAGACTTGTTGCAATGAGTGCAGCGGGTGGCAAGGGACGGAACGGTCGAAATCTTCGAGTTTGACGTCGTGTCGAGGTTCTCGATCTTGATATTCCCTATGACGCTGTTCTTGACATCGACTGGGTTCAGAGAAGCGATAGGACGATTGGCCAGGTAAGAGGTGACAAAACCTCTGCTGGAAGCGGGCAAGGCGGCGAGCATTAGAGTTGCGAAGAGGTAGTCGGGGATCTCGATTCCTCCTTCCGAACACTGGCGACGACGAGTCTCCATTTCCATGATTTGCTTTTCAATGGTATCACCACCGTGGAAGGTGGTGGTGTTCAGGAGGCGGTACTCGACGAAAGCATCGATGGCATTTGGTTGGCCATAATCCGTCGCCATCTTCGCAAAAACCTCACGCGCAGTGCGCTCCCGCTGACCGTCCATAAAGATTCCCTTGCGCAGATTCTGGGTGATATAAACCCGCGCAAGACCCAGTGCCTTTTCATTGGCAACGTCCCATTGATACTGGCTGTCACCAGCCGTTCCGGGACGCTCCATAGAACCAGGGTTCGAGGTAGATGTGCCGTTAACCATAATATGAGTGGGTTTAACCACTCCCCAGGTGCCCTGATGCATGCAGATGCTCATGTAGTTGTCCGACCACGTATTCCAATTGGTGCCATCGAAGACACTCAGAATGGAGTTGTTGAGTTTCTCGATTCCCGACATGGTGGGGAGATACTCGATAACGTCGGCGGTTTGGTAGTGAAGAGAGGGGAATTCGATATAGGGAGGATCACCGAATAGAGATCGAAGTTCTGGAGTCCAATTCTCTTGGTGATGGAAGAACTCTTCGTTATCGTGTTCTCCAAGATCGTATAGATCCCTCCAATCGGCGTCTTGGAGAGGAATGTAAGAAGGTCCCTGAGCCCAGCGGACAACAGGAAATAGGATAACCCCAACGGGAGGGTCGTCTGGTGATGACAGGGTGATAGAGATGACTAGAGCGACAAAGTCAGCCCCAGATTCTCTGCAGACCAAGAAACAAAATCCCGAGTGCCAAATCTCTGAAACGAGAACGACCAAGCGTCCCCATCCCATCCATGATGCCCATATACGCGCGGGGAATGATAACGAAATAAAGCGGTATAGTAAGTGCCCATATTTGTATCAAAGTAACGTAACTATATACGTCAGCGGCGGCAGTACCCGACGGTGATTACTGCCCTCGCAGTCCGTCACTGGCCAAGGGACACGTGCCCAAGGCCGTCCCAAGCACCGGGTTTGGCCG